TGTGCTATTAGGCCCGGTATAAACTGGATTTTTTTAAAAATTAAAACTACCCTATATGTTTGTATTTAACTATAATTACCTTTTCCAGTTGTATGTATCTTTTATTTCCATCAATAAATTCTAAATTTCAAGTGTAAAAGAAAACCTGTTACTTCCCTAAGCGTATGAACTATATTCTGGGACCCAAAGCCACTGTGGTAGTACACACTGGTATCCCAGCCTAGGAGAATGACCGGGCTTGCTGGCCAATCAGTCTTCAGTTCTAGGCTGGAGATAGACTGTCTCAAAGGAGATGGACAGAGCTTATGACCCCTGATGTTGTCCTCTGGTGTCCGTGCACACGTATGCACTGCACATGAACATGGACATACATATATACATTTTGATCAATTTCGTGTACGTGCACGTGAAGCTTGATGGTGAAATGATCTTCTATCAGTTCTCTACTTTATCCCCTGCAGCAGGGACTCTCAATCAAACCCAGAGCTGTGATACGGCTAGTCTCACTAGCCAGTTCGCTCTGAAATACTGTCTCTGCCTGAGATCGGAATTATATATAGGCTGCTAGCCCACCTGGCATTTATGTGGGTTCTCAGAAGCCAAACTCTGGCCTTCATATTTGGCCAGCAATTGCTTAATCCAAGCCATCTCCCCAGCCCAGCCATCTTGGGTGTTTGTGTTCTGATTATGTATACTCAAAAATCTAGTGTTTTTTTAAGGAGTTTTTCTTTGCTTTGTTTATTGGACTTGAGTTTAAGACTGGGTCTCAAAAGTCCACACGAGGTCACACAAACGGAATTTGATAGTTTTGTAATGGTTTGCATACAGAGAAGTCTCTGTGAAATTTTAATACCTTTTACACAGCTTGTTACCTTATGTAAGGGTGATCTGTGTATGTATAATAAACTGGCTTTTAACTCAATAGCCTGTGGGCAGTTGGATCCATGTGAGAAAATGAAAACGCAGAGGCAAGCACAGTCAAGATCACCTGACAAGGGCGAGGAAGGGGTGGGACTGAATCCCGACGCACTGTGTGGCCTGTGTGTACCTCCTGTCTTTGTCAAGGAGTCAACAATTACTGTTTTTTAAATGACTAAGACAGGAACACATGTGTACAGGTGCCCATGAAGGTCAGATGGGGTGTCAGATTCCCCGGAGCTGGAGTTACAAATGAGAGGGGCCGCCTGTCTCGGTTCCTGGGAACAGCACCCCAGTCCTTGGTAAAGACAGTACATGCTCTTACAGAGGGCCATCTCTGCAGCCCCACAGGAGCTGATTTCTAACAGGGCGTAGACTATGGTTACCATAGGAGAATCTTCTCACTTCTAAAAGTTTGTTTAACTACAACATATTCCACAGTAATCATTTTTTGTTAAGCATCTTATTAGGTTTTCCAGCCAGTGTATCCCGGAATGTTTGAAAACTAAAGCACTATCCCAAGAATAAGTGACATTACACCTACACTTCATAATACAGAAAATGTTAGAGGCAGTCAGCCTTCTAAATGAATGGCATCCATGAATAGTCAGAACCACGTCCTAAGTGTGCCACAGAAGCTGACACATGACTCTCACTTAAAAATGGAAAACGGCAAAATTTATGTGTCATAACAAGTTTTTTAAATGATGTAATATACCAAAAATTGTAGTTTAAAGCTATCTTAAAAATATATAGGGTCTCACTATAAATCTCTGGCTGGCCAGGAACTCACTATGTAGACCAAACTAGCCTTAAACTCAAGAGATCTGCCTGCCTCCGCTTCCCAAGTGCCAGGATTAGAGCCCTGCTATCAAAAGCATATGCTACCATGCCACCATCACTGCGTAAAACCCAGCGACAAAGCTGGCTCATTACCAGGGCAATGTGAGCCTGCTCGCGCTACTGCCAAGTTCACACTTCACAGTGACCATGAGACTAGTCTCACCAGCAAGGAGACCATAAGCAGCAGGAAGGCCGTGAGAGTCACCGCCAGGGAGATTACTGACTCACTGTAGACTTAATAACTTGGTAGGTAGGTGTGGTGGTGATCGCCTGTGATCTCAACATTTGGGAGGTACAGTCAGGGAAGAGCTCCAGACCAGCCTAGGGTGAGATCCTACCTCAAAAAACAACAACTTGCAGAAAACAAATAGAAATACACACAAATTAAAAAGTCACACCATACTCCGTTCTTTTAAGCTTATTTAATATTTGAATTCTTATTTTCTATTTTCCCAGACCCCAGAAAACAGAAAGTTTTAGATGACGCAATATTTTGTTCCAGAAACATACAGCCTTATCAGCTAATTCATAAAAGAGCTTTTTACAAAGGTGCATCTGGAGAATTAGAGCAATAAAAGTCTTTTAGGCATTTCAAAATGTGATCAGTAAAAATACATGATTATTAATAAGGTTTTTTTTTAAAGATAGTTCCAGATTTCTCTTAAAAGCAATTTCTGTTAAAGAGTACATGATTGTACGGTGAACGAGGGAAGGGAGACTCCTAGTGGGAAGAGGCTCATTAGAAACAACCGACAGTGTGCACGCTACGGTCACCGTCCTGTAGTATGTCTGCTTAGCCGGTGCCACCTGCAAATGGCTGGGAGGAACTGGTTTCTGGGAAGCCCCCCTTTTCCTCATCAGTGTATCACCCAAACCCTCAGTACCCATGGGGAAGGCAACCAGACAGAACAAGAGGCGCTCCTTTAAATAAAGAACAGTTTTATGGACCACACTAAGTGGGGGTGAAATGTCCAAAAAAAAAAAAAATGAAACCACGATCTACAAAACAGAAGCTTCTGCAAGGTCTCGCTAACTTTGTAATTAAGGGCCTGTGGTGCCTTCTGCCTCGTGGAGGGAAGTGAGTACACAGCAAGCTCAAAGCGGCTGCGGAGAAGACTGATCAGGCAGAGTACCAGCCTCGGGCAGCAGGCCATCGCCAGTGCCAAGGAGCAGACTGAGAAGTAAACCACTGTATCAGAGGCAGCATACCTAAAGTCTTGAGCTCCTAAAATTCTGGTGACAAGAACTTTTCTCTTCTTCCCTCCCAAAAAGACCTTGCTAAAAGAGGGCTTGTTGTTTCTAGAGGTCATTAGAAGTTGTCTGGGGGAAAACAAAGGAAAAAATACTCCTGGAACGACCTGCCACGGGAGACAATAAATAGTTACAATTTAGGTTGTGAAAGCGGCTGGACTCAATAGTCCAGCTAGCTGGTAGGAAACCATGCATGGTGGAGAAGGCCAAAGCCATCTTTTAAATTACAGTACTTGGAGGGTTGCTGGTTTGGCTTGGTTAGGTCTTTTCTCTGAAAAGGTGACACTCCACACACTAACTTGCCACTTAGTGACAAAAGAGCCACTGAGCTCACAGGAGAGCTTGGTCACAGGTTACACCCACGGCACACGTGGCTTTCCGCTCGCCTAGTGTTCTTCAGGGCAGAAGTGCACTGCACCTTCTTGTCACCCACCTTTAAGAGGACTGTAACAATGATCATCTCATTCCAGAACAGGAGGAATACCTGCTGTCACCACCGCGGAAGGGAGGCATAATGTCAAAGTCTAATGGATGTGACTCTAATGGCCAAAATGAAACGGAAGGCACGGGAGGCCAGAGAGGGAGGGGACAGGCAAGAAGTAAGGCTGATAGATAAAAAAAAACTTACAAAAGTGGTTTGTTGCTGTTGTTTTTCAGAATTCACTTCATTTTGAGGTTTCATCTGAAGGTGTAATGATATGCATTTATTTGGAAGTACTGGAGCAATGCCAAAGTCCCTTTCCAGTAAGCCCTGCTGTAACTCTGAGAGGCTGAGCTTCAGAAAGAGGAAAGTAAACAACCAGGAGAACAGAGTTCCGGCTGAGCTGTGCGGGAGAACCATGGAGGGCTCTGTAGTGTCTGGAGTCGGAACGCTGCTGTCTGGAGTCTCTCCTGATGAGCTACCCAGATGGTGTAGTGTAAGAGGCTGCCTGGAAGACAACGGAACCGTTCGGTCTCTACTTGCTTCTCCTAGGAGATACAGGGAGGTCCAGATCCCAAACTTCACTTATATGTTAGGTTCTACTCCAAAATTTCAAAGCCCCATTATGAGTTACAGTTGACTGTGACTTAAAATATGATTCCGATTTATAGATGAGGTACAGGGATACTAGCCGATCAACCAAAGAACTTAGAGGTGTTCTCAAGGACAGAAAGGAAAATCTGGACCAAGACATGAGCTTGTTAAGTTGTAGAGGTGTTCACAAAAGCAGCTGGGGGACTATCCTTGGCGACAGTGAGCTTCCTTTGTGTGTGAGGGTCATGAAGGGTAGAATAAGGTTACATCCTGACTGCCCCCAGAGTTCAGAGGCCCCTCTCCTGCAGGATGTAAGCAACACGTGAATTCCTTCATAACAGAATTTAGATTTGACACATGATTTTTTTTTTTTTTTTTACAGAACACTCCAAAAACATATTTACCAAATGCACAAAGAAAGCCACTGAACACCGTCAGAATTAAGGAGTTGTCAGGCGGCAGTTCTGACCAGCTTGTCCTCCACAGGTGCTGTCCACACTGTAGCTGGCATCAGCACCAAGGCGCCTGCACTGCTCACCGCTGGTCCCCATTCCCAAGGCCAGTCCTGGCACCAGACAGACAGGGCTATGGCAGTGAGGTCAGAGAAAGCTCTCTGAAGGGATGCAATGCGAGCAGCTCTCCTTCGAGCCCTCCTCTGCCCTCCCTCGGCTCTGTGTGGGACTCAGAGCCCTTTGGCACCATCAGTGCAAAACCTTAGAGTCAAACGTCCAGGTACTAATTGTTTTACTGGCCTTATGATCAGCAGTACCCGTGGCTAGTGACAGCCATGGTTCAACTCAGTAGTGATTCAGTTTCGACAACCTCCTCAGACTCCTCTCCCACCCACCCCACCCCTCTGCAGCACCCCCACCACCACTGAAGCATTCCATTTCTTTGTTCCTATTTCCTGCTCACTCTGCAGGGAATATTTCATACAAGTGCCAGTCAATGTATAATTATACAAATGCAACAATACCAAGAATAACAAATTTATAATCAAGAAAATAAAAATTTGTTTTCTTCTCTCCCAAATCCCAACTATCAATAGAAAAGACAATGACAAGGGAAATACACCCATTTTCAAGTGCCTGCCATTTAGTGTACTGAGGATTCCTCTCTCCTGGGATGGAACCCAGAAGGAGATGCTTGCCTTGGGCTGGGAGGAGGTCCTCCTGCTCCGAGCCCTGGCACACACAGCTCACGGTATCCACACACGGAGTCATGCAGCACCTCTGAGATGATCCTCAGAAAGGCAGCCTTCTGGACAGGAGGGCTGGTTCCAGGTTAGTGAGGGCCAGGTAGCCCTCTGTCCTCTTCTGTATTGCCTGTCTACTAACCTCTCCATCCCCAACCTGACCGTGGCTTCAGGAACAACTGATCCTCGGGTGTGCTAAATACAAAGGGCTGAAACTCTCACTACTCAATTAAAAACAAAACAAGGCAAAGTAAAAATTAAAGTGTGCTTTCAAATACGGAATGAATTCAAATAAATACATCTGATTTTCTCTTTTTCTTACCTACGTACAATTTTATATCCTACACCCAAAGCTCTATACATTTGGTTTTTATTCTGAATCAAAATGCATTTCTGATAGTGAGGAGAGGAGAGTGAGAGACCTGACATTCCCTCACTGACAGATGTGTGCAGCTGCCAGAATGAAGAACTAGTCCCACTTGGGGCACCCTGGGGCATGGCCGAGCCCAGGTGGTTCAGGCAGATCCTCTGTCACACTCTCTGTGTCCACACTGGAGCCCGGATGTGGCTGATACAGGGCCGACACTCAAAATCCAACAACCTGCAGTCACCTCCAGGACACGGGGCTCTAACTTTTATCTGAGAAGGAAGAAGACATGTGAAAACTCAATTAAGAGCAAATTACTGTTGTGATGAACACGTACACAACCTGCAGACACCATCTTGCTTACTTCTCAATCAAAAATGTAAACTAAAGCACACAAACAAACGAGTAGGAACTGGTGCACTGAACACAGGCTTAGCCATGGCCGGGGGCCACGCTGGCCTTAGTGTCAGGAGAGCAGAGGACAGCAGGGCTCCTCACAGGGGGAGAGGGAGCAGCAGCACAGGGGTCTACTGAGTTAGGGTTTACCAGGCCTCCCTCCACTCTGCCTTCAACTTGGAAAGGTGAAGAGAGAGAGAGAGAGAGAGGGAGGACGGGAGGGGAGGGGAGGGGGGGGAGGGAGGGAGGGAGGGAGGGAGGGAGAGGGAGAGGGAGAGGGAGAGAGAGATGAGGGTTGGCACAGGGACTGACAAGCACAGCTCTTCTGAGAGCAGGAAGAGCAGAGTCAGCAAACTTGATACATGATGCTTAGAAACAAGCGGTTTTTTAAGGACAGGAATAAAATCACGGGTTTTCATGTTGAAGAATAATAAATTACTTATCCAGTGTACTGTTAGTCAGGATAAGCCAACCATTTCACATACCTGAGAGCTTGGCAGGGAGGGCTGAGCCAGCCAGCCTTTGGCAAAGAAGAGCGTAACTTTCCTCCACCTTCTGTAACATCAGAGTTTTTTCATGGAGATGGCGCAAGAAAAGTAAAAGTTAGTTGACAACAGGAATGAAGTACTCCTTATTAAAGGCACATGGCCCCCAATTTCAACATTAACAATGATCACTAAGAGGCTGTTAGCTAGGAAGGAGGCCAGTTTCCTTTGAATGAGTAACCTCTCCATGCAAAACACTGGGGAAGCAAGGGAAGGTCATCTGTCCATGGCAGATGTCACCCAGGAAAGGCATCATGTGACAGATGAACACAGAGGCCACCTGGATACCCTGCCTTGCTGGCCACATAGTGACATACATGAAATTAAATGAAAAACACTATTACGTGGAGCTGAAGGAAGAGTTAAGGGAGACAAGTGCTGAGCTAACGGCTGATGTGGACACTACATCTGCCACCTAAATGATGTCACGGGGAAGTGTGAGCGCCAGCAGCCCTGTCACCAGGGCCCGTGCTTCAACGTACTCTTCCCTTGCTTCTACATGGTTTCTACATTTGTATTGTTATGGATCGTGTGTGTGTGTGTGTGTGTGTGTGTGTGTGTGTGTGTGTATGTTTCTCATGCTTTTTTGTTGTTTTGTTTGATTTTATTCTGCTTGATTTGTCTTTTTTTAATTTGCTTGCATGTTTAGTAAAGAGAGAGAGAGGCATAGAACTGAATAGGAGGTGAGGTCGGAAGGATCTGGGAGAAACTGGGAGAAGGGAAACCATGATCAGAAGATATTGTATGAAAATAATTTATTTTCAATAAAAAAATAAAACAGAGTCCCTTTCATAAAAACCAGCACAGTAATGTCTTTCACTACCAAATTCCAAAAGCTCCATTTGGGATCATGGTTTTCAGTAACAAAAGCCACTGGAGTCAACGTTTACCCGTCATGGCCTCCGGGAAACTACCAACACTACCTATGAAGCACATATAACTGGTAGGCTAAGGCAGCTCATTGCACCTCCTGGCCGTGATTCGTAGCCATGAAAGCCCACTGAATGCAAGCTGCGTCACCCAGCACGATGGAAACCAACTGACCCAGTATTTAGGCTCTTAAAACTTAGAAACCTCCAAAACAGATAACTAGCTACAAACCTACAGTTTTCTTGTTCTTATGATTTGTCACAGGACACAAAGTGTTAACACCAGCTTTGATTCAGGCCTATTCATGATTAATGGTTACAGAAAATAAAAATGGGCAGATATAGAACCTGGACCACCTTTGGACATCAGGATTCTATCATTCCAAACTTGCGCTCTGCCAACTGTGTTCTTAGGATAAGTGCTACGGAGGCTGAAATGAGACATACCTTTAAGTGTTCCAGGTCTGCCTCTATTTTATGAATGTACTCCAGGATTTGGCTTTGTGAATCTGTACAAGAAGAGGGACTCTGGATCTCAAAACAAGCATCCTCCATAGCTCTCCAGCGTCGCTGGACCAGGAACTCTGGGGTGAATGGTGAAACTGCCCCCTCAGAATGAGCACTCTGAGGGGAATGCTGCTGCTGGTGGCTGGAGTCCACAGAAGGGATGCCTGTCACAGGCTGCAGGGGGAAGGAGGAGGCGACCTCCTCATCCGTGGAGCTCTCCTGCACTGCATCATAGCCATCAAGGATCAAACAGTTTCCTATGGGTGACACAGGACAGTCTGATGACATTAGCACTGCCACGGGAATGAGCTCGGAATGACAACTTGAAGAGCTACCGTGGTGGAGGAATCACCAACTCCCAAGTTTAGTTTTAACTCCACCAGAATTTACTTCGGATTAAAGTCAATCTTAGCAAACCTTCAGTCATTTCTGAATAACTTCATGTTAGTCAGAGTTTTAAGAGTTCAAGGCTTCAGTTCAACCGAATACCACTCCCCTGCCAAACACCCTTTCCTGGGCTCCTGCCGCTTCCCCCAGCCCTGCACTAACTACAAAAGCACACTCTGCCAGTGCTTGCTGCTCAACACTACCTACAGAGCCTTTCCCTGCACTTCGGTTCCTGCTTAAGCCGATCGCCATCTCTGCTCTGACCACCTCTGCCCTGGGTGTAGCTGGCCTGATTTGCTTCCCAACGCTTCTGACCCTCAACGTCCATCACTTGCTGTCTTAGTCACCATTACCCTTTCCCTTTGGGCACTTAGGCCTCTTGGGAACAATGACGTTCCTGGCATTTTTCACTGTCCAATCTCCCAGCTGCTATGACAGTTTCTGGCAAAGAACAGATTATTTGTTGTATAAAGAAATAAACACGCACGCACGCACGCACGCACGCACGCACGCACGCACGCACGCACGCACGCACGCGCACCTTAGATACCGAAACAACATCCATCCCAGCACATCAGACAGTTCACATAGTCACAATCAGAGCTGCAATGTGAAGGCCGCTTGCCTGAGATGCGTAAATGAACATCCTTCTCCTCCTGTTGTACGGCTCCATTGCCTTCTGATGGATTCTCATCACTGTGTGCTTCACGGGCATCGAAAAAGTGCTCTCCACTGTCATCCAGACCCCCTTCTGGCTCTGCAGTAGGCATCTCTGGGGTCACGATCATGTGGTCCATTACTAAAATGTTACTTGCCTGGCTGTCTTGGGATGCCAGTATCACTGAATCATGTGCAGCACAAGACTCAGCTGAAGTCCGTGGACTGTCACAAGTTGCAACGTCACCAGTTCCAGTTTTAAAAGACACCTGTCCTTCCCCGGCATGACAAGTCTTAACGTTTTCCAAGTCCGGGATGCCACCGTCTGCCTGCACCTCTTCAGACGCTGGCCCGCATCTTGAGAAGGATTGCCAGTCTTCCTGAGTGCTCTTCTCGGTGAGACCTAACTGCTGTACCAGCAACTGCTTCAACAAGCCCACTGGAGATTCAGGACAGGGAGGGGAGAACGGAGGGGAAACTGATTACCACACCCTCACTGCCAGGCAAAATCTGGCAGCTGAGTCTCCAATCCCCTCTGAAACTAAGGACACATCTTAGTAATATACAACCAAAATATTAATCCTACACAATCATTTTTGTCTCGAAACATGCAATCAAAGATATATCTTCTACACAACAGTTAACATTAAAATACCCTGCAAGAGTTATGCACTTTGAATAGGGAGGCCTCCTGTTTAGAATCCTAAATCCACTTATATACACTGGACCCCAGAGCCTGCTCTGCTTCAGCTCAGCCAGCCAATGCTTTGCTTTTCCAGAGCAGACTCTGTATTCATAGGCATTATTTTTTTCTAACAATTTTCCTGAATGGTGAAGGCAATAAAACTGCACAGTAAACTTCAACTCCAGTGACTTGGCAGTAGCACACGGACGTTCCAGAGTAAGCACTCATTAGGTTTTTGTTTGTTTAAATTGCCTTACTAATGACATAGCTTCTTTTAGGATGTTAAAACTAAGATCCAACTCATCACCCTTGGGGTAGTCTTACACCAAAGTTCTTCAGGTGATGTCAGTTCTAGGACCAAGCCATCAAACTATCAGACATCACTAAGTCCGTCACCTCAGGAGAATGCAGAATAAAGGAGATTTTAAATAACTGCAACTTCCTGATTCCACCACAGGCTGACTCTGCTTCTCCAATAAAGAGCTCAGGTCTAAGAAAACCTTCCCCTTTCTCAAGCACCTTAATCTCTCCCCAAAATGCCAGCCCTAAAACTTTACGCCCCACTACCTCTCCCCTTGGACAGCTTGCTACTCCTTGTCTGGACCCTGACATTTTGAGGTGGAGCTCCTAGTCCACACTGTACAAGAAAAGCCAGGATGGAGGCAGGGAAACACAATGGTCTGTGTGGCTCCTATTTCCCAGGAAAGCACTGTAAATGTCATCAGATGTCCCCTTTCCTTTGCCCTAACATCCACAGAAGTCAACTGCTCTAAGAAAGGAGTGACTCCTTGTTCAGTGCTTGTTCGAGTCTAACCCCTTCCAGCTGTGAGCCTAACAACTGTAGAGCCGCCCGTGTCAGGGCGCTACTCCAAGCCTCTTTCCAACCAAATTCCCGAGCAGCTCTCGGCCAGATTAATACATTTTTATGCATCAAAGCTAGCTTTAAAACCTCACATGGTTCTCTGTAGCTGGAGTAACTATTGTTGGACTTTCTCCACCTCCCTCTACCTGAGAGATGTGCTGTCCTCCTGTCCGTAACAGTGGGTCCCAACACGCTGGAGGAGTAAGGGAAGGAGCAGCCAACAAGGCAGAGTGTGTGTGTGTGTGTGTGTGTGTGTGCGCACGCGCACGCGCACGCACACGCGCGTGCATGTTAGAAGCTGTTGTGAGGACTATTAAATCTGCATATAAAATGTAGGGCATGTGTAATATAAAACAGCTCCTAAAATTCTATGATGTTCCTGCCCATCAAATATGGAAGATATAAACTGGTATTTAAAATTCACAACAGTGACACTCTCAGCCCATCTTCTTGATTTCTAAATCTGTCTCTTGGGCCCACCCAGCTTCCAGTGTGCACAAGCCAGCTCTGCTCACTGTTCCTGGAGCACGCTGTGGTTTCTGCATGTACTCCTGCTCCTACCACTATTTTTGTCTGAATGGTTCTATTCTACACATTTAATTTGATCTTAATTATTCTCAAATAACAAGCATGTCTACTTTTGCTTCTATCTGCTGCTTCCCTTCTCGGACCACACCAACCCAGACAGATCGCTCACACGCACGCACACACACACATACACACACACACACACACACAGCCTTATTATTCCTGGAATATTTGCTTTTAAAAGTGGCAGTGGGGTCCTATTATCTTCCCAAGTAGACCATAAATTTCTTGGGAAAAAAAAATCATAGGCTAGAGTTTTGTGTATTTCCCATAATGCATTGCTTTTTCCTCTCTAAAGGCTTCCCATCACATCATACGACTCTGGTACTTAGTGTCTCCACAAGTTACGAAAAAACTTACAGTTTGTCAGTGCATGCACTGCCCACCGCTCCTCTGACACGGGCACGTGAGGACCCGGGATTGTGACTGGATGCCCGCCATCACCTTCCTTGAGTGTCCCGTTGGCATGCTGCTCCTTTGCAAACTGTGTTGCGGTCACAAAGAGATGTTCTGCCTCTGACTTGCCAGGGGTATTCAGTGAATGAGACTGAGGTTTTGACGAAATTAAGGGAGATTCTAATCCCAAAACTCTGTCTGTTCAGTGGAACAGAAAAGGTAGATTATACCTAAACAGACATTTCATTTTCAACATAGAACATTTATGCTGGGGACAGAGGTAAGCCACATAAGCTACAGATATCACCCGCTGGGGAAAGCACAGAACAGTGCTGTGCTGGCACATGGAAGGTTCAGAGGCAGCATCAGCTGACATGCATGGTTGGTGCTGTCACAGAGTCTTCGTTTTAATAGGTAATGTGTTACATCAGACATACTAGTCTATGCAGCTTACCTGGACTCTGCAGACCAGCGACTGAAAGATCATGGTGCTCCACTTTTAACTTGGCTGGTTCTTCTTCATCATTGTCTCCTCTATAAAAAAAGGAAAAAGAAAATAAACAATCCCTGAGCTTCAGAAGATGCACAAACTTCACGGCATTCAAGCGAAGAATCAAGAATTCAAGCGTAGCGGCACTCACTCGCAGGGTGGCGGCTGTGGGAGGGGAATCGGCTTTGTGGACTGCTCCTTCACGGACGCAGCCATTCGACAGATGAGGTCTTGCCAGCTTCAGGGGTGTGAAAGGGATCCAGAACCCAGGAGGAAAGCAGAGACACCCCGTAAACACACAACGGAGAAGAGAACAAAACCCCAACACCCTGTGCTGCCAGGCAGCATCTTAATCTTGGCACACTCTTGTAGAGATTCTAAAATATACTTTAAAGAAAATCCTAACATGAGCACATTATCCACTTAAGAGAGCAACTGAGAACTTCTGAAAACTGTTTTCTTTATAAAATTTACTTTCAGTAGAATAAAATAAAAATGAAAACTTCAATCTCAACAGAAACAAATTCTTAGAGGACTGTTCCCAAAAGAACACAAGAGGAAGTACTTGATTTCTACAGTGTCTTTCAGAACCTTATTATAAAACAAAGTCCGTGAGCTGCATGGCTGGCTCAGCGGTTAGAGCACCCTCTGCCCTTCCAGAGACCAGCTACTCAGTTCCCAGCACCTGCGAGGCCAGCTCTGCCCTTCCAGAGACCAGCTACTCAGTTCGTAGCACCTGCGAGGCCAGCTCACAACTAACTGTGACATCAGTTCCAGATGATCTGATACCCCTCTTCTGGCTTCTGCAGGTACCTGCTCACATGTGTGCACGTACACACACACACTTTGAAATCTTAAGAAAGTAAGTATGTGGAACATTTATACTTTGGATAATTAGAGTAATTAAATCTGATACATACACCGTCTTTTCAGAAACCGTCTGTGCTACCAATTCATAAATCTGGGCTCCATTGTCTGACATGGAGATGACGAACAGAGCTTTGTTATCTAGAAAAGAAGAGAACAAAAGTCACTCTGCTACTACCCCAGAGGCAGGTACTAATCTACTACTACCCCCAGATGCAGGTATTAATATTCTGCATCTTAATTTAGGTACAAATTATGTCCACTTTGAAAAACTTTATCAAGTTTATACATTTAAATGTTGTGCAACTTACTGTATGCTACATTCTAACTTCAATAAATAATGTTTATAAAAGCCAACACAGAACTTAATTAGAAACAAAAATAAGTCAAAGTTCAAATTACCTGGACTCTGGGGATCAAAATAAAGAGAGAAAGCACACTAAGTTGGGCCAAAAAAGTAAGGGAGGGGATAAAGGAGGGAAGCAGGGACAGGAATAGAAAGTGAATCGAACCAGAACATTTCATTCTATACATGGATGAAATTCTCAAACAATAAACCTAAGTGACTTCATAAAAGTTCTGTCCTGTTAAGGCTATGCCCTGTCCAAGTATAATGTTCTGTGGAGTTCTAAGAAGCCTGTAACTCTGAACACAGGCACGCACACACATGCACGCACACACAGCCACACACATAGGCACACACACACAGGCACACACCTAGACTACTGACCCAATGCTTCCCCTTTCACATCTGTTTTACACAGCTGTATTTCTAAGTGGTTAAGAATGCTTGGGAAACACTGAAGGAAAGAGTTTGCAAATTTTGCTATCATGAAATTAAGTTACATAAAAGAGCTCACCATAACACAGGTAAACTGTAGCTTACCAACTTAGACTGATATTTAAAAAAACAAAACAAATTCAAGGCCAGAGAAATGGCTCAGTAGTGAAGAGCCCTGGGTTCCAACACCCACACGGCAGCTCTGTTAGCTCCAGTCCTAGGGAATCCGATGCCTTCTTCTGGCCTCCAAGGACATCAGCCTCGCACATGGTACACAGACATATATACAGCCAAAACACCCATACATAAAATAAGATTACATTAAAACAAAAAAATAAATTCATTTGCCTCTCCAATTTTCACTTTTTTCCAACACACAAACACACCGTTTTAATGACAGCCATCTCACTGGGGTTACCCTCAAAGCACTCACATCTTTCCCGTATTTATCACCAATGTGAACATAAAATAAACACCAAAGTAAATGTATTTACATCTTCAAATGCTGAAAACCAGTGACATAACCTTGCTGTCTCAAATAATTTGGAGGTATAAAATTCCAATGCAGTGTCTAGGCAATAGACAGACTTCATCCACAGTTTCTACACATGAACATAACAAGAACACCAGTGTCGGCCGGCTGAGCTGCTTACACAGCTTACACAGCTTACACAGCTTACACAGCTGGAGCACTGAGCCCACACACCCGTCCTACAGCAGATGCTCACCTGTGGCCACCTGTCGCACCAGCACAGTGCTCAGCTTGATGACGGGGCTGAAGGTGTGCTTGCTGTCGGCGGTGGAGGCCAGGATCTTGCTGTGGCACCTCAGCACCAGCCTGTCATCCTGCTTCTGTAACAGCACGAGGATGTCCTCCAGCAGCAGGGTATAGAGATCTGGACAGGCAGATATGGAGAAACCGGTAAGCCCAGAAATTCAAAGTGGTCTGGAAAGGAAATTATTTCTGGAAAACCTAGATAATTTTGAAAAGCAGATTTGCAGACTATCTTCTTTAAATTTCATTTTAAATAGTTCATTTTAGTATGTTTCACGGGAGCATCATCTGAGAGTTGCAAGAATTAAAACAATAATGCTCCCTCACTGTAAGACCCTGAAATACACTAGCTTACAGAAAACTCAAAGTTTCACCAGGAAATAGATTATGGAGATAAGGCCGAAGCGTGACAGTTTTCTGCTGCGTTCCCAAATGAACATGTAACGTGCTTTACACTTAACAACAACACACACAAGCAGCTCTCCCACACTGCTCAGACACTGCGGGGCGGGCGGCACTGCTCTCTAAGTGAAACCTGAGCGATGACTGCACTTCCCACTGGCAGGCGCTCCTGTGCCTGCCTCTCCACCTCTCACCCGACAGCAACACCAGACTCACCGATGCTTTTATCTCTATTCACCTTCCAGACCAACGGCCCTTCGTGAATCATCTTTCTTTTTGTTAAGTCCAAATTCTGCCGAAGTAAAAAGAATTAGACGTGAATTACTTCCAAGAATACTTCATCAGTGGAGTCTCAGCCAGAACTGTGTCTTTTCAGAACAGTCTTAATATACAAGCAGCCACAGTTCTGCTACCTGTCTTGAGAATGGAACCATCCACATTAAAACAGCCTGCACCAAACCTTCTAAAGGGGAAGCATCTTACAGAAAAGCAGTCCTGAGTATGCTCTGCAAACCTCGCTCTGGATGAGTACTGGCTTCTGAGCAGCATTACAAAGCCACTACAGATCCTCACTCCTTAGCTGCAATAAACCGGGGGCAGATGATGTGTGAGGGACATGCACATCTGAAGAGGACTTCTGAGTCTAGAATTCTAACTCCTAGCACGCTTACCTGCTGAACCATTTCTCCAGCCTCCCAAGGAAAGTTTGAACGGACAGCATTTGTTATGAGAATGCCAAGTACTGTCACTGTCAGCAACTTACTTGTTAGTAAAGAGCAATGGCTTAGCACTAGCATCTTGAGGGGAACTCACATTCTTTGGAAGGTAAGAGAATACACACATCAGGGTGCTTTTTGATAAAACTATTGTGAATGATATACAAGTTTATTTTACATAGATATTAAGTAATTCTGCCAAAACAACCACCAGTGAACTGGCATTTTTTTAAAAAAGAAACTTACTATCCTAAGAGGGTTATTAATATTAAAGTTTAGGCGTCAGACGTAGCAGTTAGTAAATAGTTAGCTACTCCTATATTGGTTTCAACCCTCATGCTTTTCAGAAGTGTCACAGAAAAATTATGTTTACTCAGTGATCTGAAAAGTTAAAATATTCTAATAACTTATGTTCCCAAGTCCTCCAACAATTCCTGCCACATAGTTACAGTTTACTCCTATAACAAATATGAATTCACCCCTGACACAGTGAAGACATTTAACAAGCAGAACGAGGTCACAAATGCAGACAATCTACCAGGAAGACCTCCTTCAAGATGGCTGCCCCCACTGGGATGTTAACTCCTCCTTCAAGATGGCTGCCCCCACTGGGATGTTAACTGCCTGCCGGGTCTTTAGTACATTTTCCTTTATGTTTTTAATTATGATTAGATCATCTCTCACCCTGAGCTCATCAACATTTGGGTACTCGGACAACTTGAGATTGGAGGTGTCAAGGCGACGCTGATAGTCTTCTAAGCGCTGAAAATTGATCAGGATGGAGACAAGGTTAGACCCGGGCATCACTAACCTCTATGTTTCTGAATCACGTCATGTCTTAAGGGTGACGAACAAGCCCCTCCTCCTTAGTACACCTTGCCCCTCATCGCTGGAGAAACTCGCTTTCCTAGTTCCCCTTCCTCTCCAGCTGCCCCTTCTGCTCTTTTATTAAACCTGGTGACACTAAGTAAGCTTATACCTATTTTCTGAACATATAAAGCATGTACACAGTACAAAATTCAGAAGGTACCATAATGTTTATAATAAAAAGCATTCTCATCCCACCCCTGACACTCTCCTGTTTTCTCTAAAGAAGTGATCTTGATGTTCAATTCTTGGGTGACTTTTGAGAAAATCCTATGCAAACAGAATGCATGTGTGTATGAGCCTCTCTGTGTGTTCTGTGTCTATACAGCCTCAGCCTTTTAAAAACAAGATGTAGGATAATGTTGGCATTCCTTTAGCGTTCCAGTACATAGCATAGTCCTCTTATTTATAAATACAGTATTCTGACTGCTTGTTTTGTTTTTTGGGGTGTTTTTGTCAACTTGACACATCTGGAAGGGAATCTCACCTGAGACTATGCCTCCATTTGGATTGTAGGCAAGTCTCTGGGGCATTGTTTTAATTCATGACTGACGTGGGAGAGCCTGGCCCACTGCAGGCAGTGCCACTCCTGGGCAGGTGGTCCTGAGCTGTGTAAGAAGGCAGGCTGAACAAACCATGGGGAGCAAGCCAGCGAGCTGCCTCCATGGTCTCTGCCTCAGTTCCTGCCCTCAGGCTCCTGCCTGGGCTTCCCAAGAGTGAACTATAATATGGAAATGTGAGCCAAATTAATCTTTTCCTCACCAAATTGATTTTGGAGTTTTATTAGAGCAAGAGAGAAGCAAACTAAGAAACTAAGACACACTCCTCTTTCTCTGTGTACAGGGTTTTACCTTGGAGACTCCTCTATGTTAACACACAGAGATGTGTTCTCTAACACAATCGCATAGCATTCACGCTCCAAACTGTGAATCAATTGCAAGTACATCTTACTAATGGGCACTGAGGTTACTTACGATGTTTGACAATAGCAAATGATACAGTAATAAAATAGGGTTTTGGTCATGTGTGTTGTACCCCTATAAAAATACGTTGTAGGATAAATGCCTAATCATCCATGCTGTATACCGGTATAGATATGTCTGCATGATAAATTTCTAAAAGCGATTGCTTCCACGGGTTTGAGCAATTCCCCTCACCATAAACACAAGAAGGTTCTTGTATGTAAGCACGCGTACAGAGCACACCACAACCAGCGCTCACTGTGCCTATTACAGACTGTCCATCCCTCCGTCTCCTACAGGTGGGTTTGCCTTACCCTCTAGAGGCATTTCTAAATAATCTCGCAAAAGCACACACCCACTTACTAAATAGTGTAGCATATCTACCATTATAGAATGTGTGTCATTAAATCCAGTGTTTACCAGCGGTTTCCTTTTAGAGTTTTGTGTATGCAGAAGTGTCCGTGCACATGCTTGCTTATGTGTAGGGGCCTCGAGGGAGGCCAGGGAAAGCTTGTGGGAGAGCTGGGTCTCTCCTTCCACCCTGTGGGTGCTAAGGATTGAACCCAGGTTATCGGGGCCTCCATCTGCTAAGCCATCATGGCAGCCCCTTCAGTTTGTTTTTTTGTTTTTTGTTTAAAAAAAAAAAACACCTTTACCCACAGTAAGATGAGTGCATTTTAAGTGTATTTTTTTCATGAATTCTGACAAACAATACACTTGTAAAGACATGAAGTATTAGTATGGTCTCAGAATGGTTCCTTACATTTCTGCCTGGCTAGATCTCTACACTATGTCCTGAGTGGCAATTGCCTTTCTTATTTATTTTCCTATCACAAATCAGTTTAGTATCTTACAAGTTCACACAAATAAAATTATGTGTGTGTGCTCTTTTGTGTCTGGTTTCTTTCAGTCATTACAATGTTAACAGGATCCATCCTGCCCATCTCTGGTTCTAAGTCATGAGCAGACCACAGTTGCTTTACCTGCTCTCCCACTGAATCCCTGAGCTGTTTCCAGACTAGAACGACCATGAATAAAGCTCCCACAAAATCCTTATGCCAGTCTGCTGTAGGTCTACCTCTTCACTTGCTTCAGCAGGTCACTACAAACAGAACTGCCAGGCCGCAGGACACAAGTACAGCCATAGGCCATTGAATTTAATAGACATCGGCAAACTTCCTCCTGAGGCTTCACCATTTTGACTCAAACAACACTTCTGAGTCGCAAACAAATGCCCTGCTCATCAGTTGTGTAATGATTCTCTGTTATTTCGGATTCCACACATACCCATCTAACATTCCCCAGTGCTATCTTACACCTCGCTCTTCCTTCTTACCTGCTTGTTCTCCGCCTCCCTGACAGCCTGATTTACATAATTTAAGATCTGACGACAGTGGTCTGCAGCCTTCTTCACCTTTTCCCTTTCTGGAGGCCATTCTAATATAGGGAGGAAACAGAAAATTAGGAAAAAAGAAAATGTGTGCGTGCGTGCACACACTCACACACACACACACTCACACACACACACACGCACACATGACTTCATTTTATTCAAATGAGTGTAAGAATATATACACAGATACTTTCAACATTTTTATACCATGTTAAAACCTATGGCACAGTCTCTATTCAGGAAGTCTTTACACAGGTCAGACTTCTGATTACCATACCTTAAAACATACATTCTCATTAAAATTTTTTTTTTAAAAAAGAGCCAAGTATGGAGTTGCTTGCATGCTACTTACAAAGCTGAAGCCAGGATCACAGCTTACGGTTAGCCTTAGCTAACCTGTCTCGAAATACGTGCTTTGTTTTTCAAGACAGGGTTTCTCTGTGTATCCTTGACTCTCCTGGAACTCTATAGACCAGGCTGGTTTCAAACTCACATTTACCTCTGCCTCCCAAGTGCTGGGATTAAAGGTGTGTGCCAGCACTTGAAGCTCGAAATATTGTTTTAAGGGAATGGCAATGCAGGTAATGGACAGAGCTTGTGCCTAACATTCGCAAACTGTAAGTCGATCTCAGTATTTAAAGGATGAAAAAAGTAAGAAGAAATCACAGTACAGAGCCCTGGATGTAAGAGCGATGCCTTGTGTTAAACCCTAATGGTAGGCGCTCCCGAGGAAGGCCTCTGGAAGCTGTACAAACAAGGCCCTCTCTTACCCAAGGAACTGCAGTGTGTAACCTAGACAACTATGACCACTGGGTCTCTTACGCAGTCTTTTCTGTGTGGTAAGTTTGCAGAATTCTAGACTAGGTTTGCACTTGAGACCACATGCAAAGGAAGAACAAGTACAACACTAGCAGTGCTAGAAGATGACATTCACCAAAATCACAGACGCTGTCACTGCCGCACTGCAGAGCCACCAGGCTAGAGTGGAAACTAATCTTCAAACAGTGAGGCAGCCCCACTGGACAGACACATGAAGAGTAAAATGTAAAGGCACATTTATGTCAGGACCATAGTCTGTGATCCCCATATGCATCCCCAGTCTCAAGTGTAAGAAGCAGGAGTTTGGGGCATAAAACTCAGAGTCATTTCTCTCAAGACGAGAAAGCTGGAATGACAATGCGTTCGGCTGAGCTTCCTACAAATGCTTTCACAGACACAACACATCTCTCTGACCTAGGATAAAGCCTTTTCAAGCCAAGAGAAATGCCAAAACAAAGATGGGTGAATTTTTCCTTATAGGGTCAGGTGACAATTTCTCTACCCTTTGTAGGTTCAAATGACCTCTGCTCCAAATATTCAGTTCTTCTGCTGAGTGCAAAAGGTCTCAGAAAAAGCATACAGGCGGCATCCATGTACTGTCTCTAATAGAAACTTACTAACAAAAACAGGCAGAGAGACACAGGTGCACGCCCACAATCCCAGCATCTATAACAGTGGTTCTCAACCTCCCTAAAGCTGCAACCCTTTAAAACAGTTCCTCACATTGTGACGACCCAGCCATAAAGTTATTTTCATTGCTACCTCATAACTCCAATTTTGTTACTGTGATGAATCATAACATAAAACTTTTAGATATGAAGGTTTGCCAAAGGGGTCGTGACCCACAGGTTGAGAACCACTGAGATCAGAGGTTCAAGACCACCCTCAGCTACACATGGAGTTCATGATGAACTGGGATCTGTGATATTTGTCTTTAAAAAATAATTCTGAAATAAAAACCAGGCAGGAACGTTAATGTGGCCCTTGTGCCACAGTATGCCAAACTCTGTGTCTGAACTAGAGGACATAATCCAAACAGGCATAAACACTGTTTCTTCTCAGGGAATGTCTGCCATACAACTGGAAGAAACCAAGTCTATGTATCAGGATGCTATGAAGAATTGCTTAGTTAGCAGGATATAGTCTTGGGTTTTGTTCTAATTTCTAAAGAAAGTGCATGTGTGCATATTATCTGTGTAAGGGTCTATGCGTATGAGTGCTCACAGAGCCCCACAAAGGGTGTCAGAGCTCATGGAGCTGGGGTGACAGTGGTTGTGAGCCACCAGGTGTGGCTGCTGGGGTCCCAACTCTGGTCCTTGCAAGAGCAGTTAACCACTAAGCCTTTTCTCCAGTTCCCAGCTTTTGTTTCAGCCAAAATGCTCTACCTGTGTATTTGGCAATATTGTCCAAAAGAAGCGGGTACTTAGTGAGCCTCTGCATCTGGGTGGGAATGATGTCCTTCAGCTGAAGACGACGGCACAGGGGATTACTCTCAGCATCCTAAAATTAAAGTGGAAGAAGTCAACTAACAAAGCGTATGGGACAAATAATTACCAAACATGTATCGTGTATTTACTAGAAACACCACTGTATCAGAGGCCTGGTTATTAGACAAAGAGGCTTCTAAAAAGAGAGAAAAAGCACGCACATCCTACTTCAGTTTGAGGACAGCCAAGGCTACACATGTCTTGATGAATCATGGCTTCATGTAATAAAAATAACATAAGGACACCTTTAAGGATTCTCCACTGACCTGATAAACAACTTCAGCAAAGTGGCTGGTTATAAAATCAACTCAAACAAATCAGTAGCCTTCCTCTACATGAAAGATAAACAGACTGAAAAAGAAATTAGGGAAATGACACCCTTCACAATAGTTGCAAATAATATAAAATACCTTGGTGTGAATCTAACCAAGCAAGTGAAAGACCTCTATGACAAGAACTTCAAGTCTCTGAAGAAAGAAATTGAAGAAGATCTCAGAAGATGGAAAGATCTCCCATGCTCATGGATTGACAGGATTAATATAATAAAAATGGCCATCTTGCCAAAAGCAATCTACAGATTCAATGCAATCCCCATTAAAATCCCAACTCAATTCTTCACAGAGTTAGAAAAGGAAATTCTCAAATTCATATGGAATAACAAAAAACCTAGGATAGCGAAAACTATTCTCAACAATAAAAGAACTTCGGGAGGAATCACCATCCCTGACCTCAAGCTGTACTACAGAGCAATAGTGATAAAAACTACCTGGTATTGGTACAGAGACAGGCAGGAAGATCAATGGAATAGAATTGAAGACCCAGAAATGAACCCACACACTTATGGTCACTTGATCTTTGACAAAGGAGCTAAAACTGTCCAGTGGAAAAAGGACAGCATTTTCAACAAATGGTGCTGGTTCAACTGGAAGACAACATGTAGAAGAATGAAAATTGATCCATTCTTATCCCCTTGTACAAAGCTCAAGTCTAAGTGGATAAAGGACCTCCACATAAAACCAGATACACTGAAACTAATAGAAGAGAAGGTGGGGAAAAGCCTCGAATACTTGGGCACAGGGGAAAAGTTCCTGAACAGAACTCCAATGGCATATGCTCTAAGATCGAGAATTGACAAATGGGACTTCATAAAATTGCAAAGTTTCTGTAAGGCAAAGGACACTGTCAATAGGACAAAACGACAACCAACAAATTGGGAAAAGATCTTTACCAATCCTTCATCTGATAGAGGGCTAATATCCAATATATACAAAGAACTCAAGAAATTAAGACTCCAGACAACCAAATTACCCTATTAAAAAATGGGGTATAGAGCTTAACAAAGAATTTTCAACGGAAGAAACTCGAATGGCCGAGAAGCATCTAAAGAAATGTTCAGCATCCTTAGTCGTCAGGGAAATGCAAATCAAAACAACCCTGAGATTCCATCTCACACCAGTCAGAATGGCTAAGATTAAAAACTCAGGTGATAGTAGATGCTGGCGAGGGTGTGGAGAAAGAGGAACACTCCTCCATTGTTGGTGGGACTGCAAGATGGTGCAACCACTTTGGAAATCAGTGTGGCGGTTCCTCAGAAAATTGGACATAGCATTACCCGAGGATCCAGCTATACCACTCCTAGGCATATACCCAGAAGATGCTCGAACATATAATAAGGACATATGCTCAACTATGTTCATAGCAGCCTTATTTATAATAGCCAGGAGCTGGAAAGAACCCAGATGTCCTTCAACTGAGGAATGGATTCAAAAAATGTGGTATATTTACACAATGGAGTATTACTCAGCTATTAAAAACAATGAATTCGAGAGGTTCCTAGGTAAATGGATGGAACTAGAAATTATCATCCTGAGTGAGGTAAGCCAATCACAAAAGAACACACATGGTATTCACTCACTGATTATTGGATATTAGCCTAGAACCTTGAAATGCCCAAGATGCAACTCACAGGCCACATGAAGCCCATAAAGAAGGAAGACCAAGTGAGGGTGATTCGGTCCTTCTTAGAAGGAGCAACAAAATACTCAAGGGAGCAAATATGGAGACAAAGTGAGGGACAGAAACTGAAGGAGGGGCCGTCTCAAGACCACTCCACCTGAGTATCTATCCCATGTGCAATCACCAAAGGTAGACGCTGATGTGGAAGACAGGAAGTGCATGCTGATAAGAGCCTGATATGGATATCTCCTCAGAGGCCTTCAAGAGTCAGACATATTCAGAGGCAGATGCTCACAACTAGCCATTGAACTGATCATGGGGTTCTCAATAGAGGAGTTAGAGTGAAGACTGAAGGAGCTGAAAGGATTTGTGGCCCCATGAGGAGAGCAACAATACCAACCAACCACAGCTCCCAGGGTCTAAACCACCAGCCTGGGAGCACTTAGTGGGGGATCCAGGGCTTCAGCTGAATATGTAAAAGTGGAGGGCCCTGCTGGGCATAGGTGGAAGAAGAGAACCTTGACCTCATGAAGGCTGGATGCCCCAGGGGGTGGGAATTTTGAGGGTGGGGAGGTGGGAGTGGGGGGGGTAGATAGAGGTTACATCCACAGAGAAGAAGGAGGAGGGGCGAGGGGATTGGGGGTTCCGAGGGGGTGGTGGGGGATGGGGTAAGGGGACAACATAGGAAATGTAAATAAATCATCCAATAAAAAAAAAAAAAAAAGGATTCTCCACTGAATTTATATAAAAATATAAATCTTTAAGGTGTTCTTATGTAATAAAAAATAAACCTATACGGTGTCCTCCAAGATTCTCATTCTTGGGTGTGTGTGACTCCATTCCCTTGAGTGTGGGTGGAGTCTATTCTAGAATTAGCTTACTATCACTTGATTTAATCAAAAAGAGGAAAAAGCATACCTACTGACTTGGAAAAAAAGCAAAAATCCAACTTTGTCGACTGCTCAAAGGCCACAGGAAGAGAGACAGGTATCTGAGGAGCTAGGACTAGTTCCTGGCCAACAACGAGCCAGAAAGCAGGACCTCATTTTGCATTTACAAAAAAATAAAAATTAATAAATTAATTTTAAAAAATCAGCCATTGGCTTAAACAAGCTTCAGGTGAGGATTGCAACTCTAGAGTACATTTGATAAAATACAAGGGTCCTGTTACACTGTAGCCATACTCTTAAACCACAGAAACTGTGACTGCTGCTTAAAATGCAGCGACAGGGAACAGATGCATGGTGTCCAAATAACTGTATTTATAAAACAGCAGGTGGCTGGAGACAGCCCCGGGCCACAGTTCCAGACTCTTGTCTCCTCCCATCCCTACCCCAGTACTGTTACAATCCTCCGAAGCCTGATAAAAAAAAATACCTCAAACTTAAACAACATGCTTTTCAAAAGTGAGTATGAGCCAGATGGGGTAGCACAGGCCTGTAAACTCATGGCTAGCATGAGGTACAGACAGAGCAAGAAGCCTGGGGAATTTAATAAGACCTTACCACAAAAAGCTATAAAAAGGGCTAGGCCTATAGCTCAGTGGAGAATACTTGCTGAGACCACAGAACAACTGAATATAGCCGTTTCCTAATTAAAACTGGTATGGAAACATGGATATCTATGTCAAATATTTCAATTTTCATATATATTTTTATTATTCATCATTCCAAAAATATCTTTATTTCTTCCAGTAATTTAAGATGCAAAATAAAGCTCTTTTAAAATGCTAACATATTGGGTGGGACTGAAGAGATGGCCCAGTGGTTATGAGCATTGGCTGCTCTTCCAGAGGAGCCAGGTTCAATTCCCAGCACCCATGTGGCAACAGCTGAATGTGACTGCAGCCCCAGGGAATTCAATGGCTTATCAAGACCATGCACATACTTGGTACACAAACATATATTCAGGCAAAACACCCATGTTCATAAAATAAAAACATAAATGAAGGGGGAAATTAATGTTAAAATAGATGGACATTGTAAGTCAGCATTCCTCAAGTTTATCCCATAATTAATATAAAACTTATCGGGGATCATATAACTTGCTCAACTTACTTGCACAAAAGTCTGGAATCGAGAATCCTTTTTCTGACGAGACTTGATCATTTCCAGGGCAAAAGGTTGGTTACTGCAGAATGTGGCCGCAGCCTGTTTCAGCTTCTCCTCCCCTGGTCCACTGAACTGTGACAAGAGCGCAGAGAAAAGAGAAAGAAACACTGAGCATCCGTGAGGCCAAGTAAGATGAAGGCAGCCACGGTCCTTTCGACATCCCAGGGGGCGTTCCCAGATGCAAGAGACAGCTTTGTATGTAGAGGCAGGAGGGATGGCGTCACACTAAGGACTCACCCTGATGCCAGAGGCCATATGCCAATGGTTTTGTGCCAGTAGCCTATAACACATTACCTTTCGGGCTACACTGCTTTCAAATTAGTTAGGGTGACATCTGGAGAGTAAGAGGCACAACATGCCTGGAGTCTGGGGTTCCTAGTTCAATTTCATAGACTCTGACTCCTTTGCAAGAACACTCCTATCGCTCTACAAGGAAATCCACGTGCTAGGAGCGTTCTCTCCTATTCATTGTGAGATGATACACTATCATCACCAGCCGAGTGGAAACGCAAAGAAAATTCCCCACTGCGTCATCTGTGCAGGGACTAGAGGGCCTGGGCACAGATCCATGAACTTGTAAAGCTCTCTTGCAAATATATAACATATGTGCATATATAGTATGCCTCTTACTAGCATCTTGCTCTTGGAAATTTGTTTATAATAATTAATCTGTAGGTTTACTTATGAGGTGGTCTTATAAGTCAAAAAGAAAACTTTTTTGTTGTACACTATCACCTCTATTTTGTTAACTTTTGCTTTAGAGTGGTTCCTAACCTTCCTAATGCTCTGACCCTTTAACACAATTCCTCCTGCTGTAATGACCTCCAACCACAAAATTACCTTCACTGCTACTTCATAACTGTAATCTTGCTACTGTTATGAGTTGTAATGTATGTATCTGTGTCTTCTAATGGCCTTAGGTGACCTCTGCAAAGGGTGATGATCATGACCTACAGGCTAAGAACCACGGCACTGGGCTATCCAGGCTGGCCTCACACGCCCAGCCGTCCTGCCTGTGTCCTGAGTGTGGGTATTGCACATAGAACATCAAAGCTAGCTTTCCTACTACTTTTACACTTGCAAACAAGTGCTTTGTGCTTAGCTAAGAGGGCTTTCTGTACAGTATTCCACATTTCCAAAAGTCTATCATATAGGAAGGCCGTCTATAAAATGTTCTTTTGTAGCGTATCTGTAGATGAACTATTTTCTTCAAGTAGGATACATAAAGTGGTATTCTAACTGTTTGGCCAAAGTGTGTGCTGTCATTCTCTTATGGAGGGATGCTCAGGCTAAGAACGTGGTTCAGTGATTGAACACTTGTGTCACAAGACCCTGACTTCAGTCACTAGCACTGAAAAGTAAATGCTGAAGGATGAGACTGGCAGGTTATTCCTCAGGGACTAGGAACACGAGGAACAGCTGGGTTTATAAAGAAAAGGCTGGGACCCTAGCAGTTCTGTGGTCACCTAGGGACCAAGACTGGGAAAAAAACTCTCTAAACATTCTTTCTCCTCTCTCTTCCCTGCCCTGCCTCTCCTCAATTCAGCACTTGGGAGCAGAGGCAGACAGATCTAGGTGAGCCCCAGATCAACTGGGGCTACAAAGTACCCGGTCAGTCGGGTCTAACTGCTGAGACACTGTCTAAAACAAAACAAACTCCCACAGTTTTTCCACCGTACACTGTGTGACAGCAGAAGCTATGTGTCTTAAATGCCACTGTCTCTCCAACTATACACAGTTTTGTTCACTGTAAGTTGACAATCAGAGGCTGGCAAGATGGCTGAGTGATTAAGAGCCCTTGCTGCTCTTGTGGAGGACTTAGGTTCAGTTCCCAGCAGTCTATAGCTACAGTTCCACGGAATCCAAACTAGATCTAATGCCTTCTTCTCTACTCTGTGAGCATGAGCCATACATATGGTACATACACATCCATACAGTCAAAACAATCATGTACACACAACAAAATAAACCTGTACAGACAGTTAGACAGAAAGACAGGGACAAGTTGACAGTTACGATAGCCTCTGAATTTTTTCCTTATATTGGAAATAAGTTTAAGTCGTTTTCACTACTGACACTTATGAAGTGTAACTGCCTAATATTATACTGTCAGTACCTGTTTAAGATCTGAACAACAGAAGATGGTAAACGTTCTGTGCCATTTCACCTGACAGGATGCATTACTCTTTCTCCTTTAAGACATAAGGAACTAGTGTATCTGCATCTCAATGAGATCAAGCACTGAGTCTGACTACATATTGATTAGAACTAACCAATAAAACAATACTCAGAACACTTTTCAACTTTGCATATTAACTCTACAAAATGGATGTGTTTAGTTTGGACACATTTATTACTTACTCCCAAATTTGATCAAATGTCTATAAAAATATTTAAAAGACATTCTCAATTTCCTTACCCAGATGAGCAGATCCTCTCCGATATGATCAATAACAGAGGTCTCATTCCTTTTTCGGACAGCTTTCATTTGCTCATTCAACCCAACTAAGGGAGGAAAAAAAAAAAAAGGTTAAGTCCAGACTTATTTCAGTTTGAACTACTGGTAGCATGAAGCAGCTACCTTTAGTGGTTTTAAGTTTTCCGAGTAGCATAGCTACCCCAGACTCCCTTAATCTGCACACAGCACACACAGCTCGATCCCAAACGCTCCTCCTGGACACTTAAGGCTCTGTTGTTAGGAGCTAGCACACTGCTGAAAATCATCTACCCATTCCTTTAATTTTACTATTTATAAAATATATTTACATGGATATCATTAGATGTGATATGAATTTTAAAACTACACATAGTAATTGATAGGATTATTATCAAGGGTAATTTTCATTATTTGTGTTTTTCATTTTAAATACTAACTTTAGATTAGAAAAGCCCATATGTATACAAAAGGCCACTTGTACACACAAAGACTTGTATAAAATTATAGGGAAAATATTTAGTCAAAAGCTCCAATCGCCTTTCTTTGCTAGGTCCTCAATAAACTCTGTGAGGTCATTCGTAATGTGCTGTAGAGACACTTTTACACAGTCAGAGTCCTTTCTCTACTGGAAACGCAGACACGACGACCACAAGCCAACTTCTCCTACCATGAAGCTGAAGGATATCTTCCAAGTTTGAGAAGATCTTGCGTAGTTCTGATGGCGACAGAATCCCTTCTCTGGACAATCGCTGATAGAATACTTGGTCCAGAACCTTCAGGGTTCGGACGTGAGCTCTCTCAGTATAGAACAATTCTAGGCAGAGGAGGGGAGAAGGAGATACAGAATGTTGCTTTATTTAGACTCATTCCATGGGACCAAATTAGTCTTCCATTGTTATTAGGTAACAAATGCATTATGTAATAAATTTAATGTTAAGAAAGGATGGTATGTCTCTAAAAACCAAACTGATTCATGAAATTTTCCTACACAGCAGAATAATGAAAAGTATCATTCAAAAATATTTCATATTAGGAAGTTAATTAACAGATACTCCCAAACTCATTTACAATATGAATTTATAACAGCAGAATACAGTAAAATCTAATAACAGATAGCCTTAAGCACTCTTCTAAAGTAATAGTACTTTAATTTTCTGTATTTGCCCATAAAACCTCATTTCTGGAGTCATTGTGTAACTTTACTAAATCTCATTGTCATCAAAAATAAGATATGTATTGAAATCAAGTCATAGTGATAGCAGAGGGTACAGCATACATGTCACATACTTGTTACGTACATGTTAGGGTAACTGTGATGTCAACTTGCCACAACTTAGAACCACCTGGGGAAAGAGTCTTAATTGAGTAAATGCCTGGAACAGGTTAATCTGTGGGTGTATCTGGGGTGGGGTGGTCCTGGTAACAGGCCTACTGTAGGACCCAGCACACCATGGGCAGCACCATCCCCTAGGCAGGGTCTGGGACTGTATAGGGCAGGAGAAGGCTAGATGAGCACAAGAGGAAGGGCACAGGCACCTCACTCTCTCCGCTCCACTGTAGGTGTGATGGCACTGACTCCACTGAGCTCCTGCTTTGAGCCCCCTCAATAATGGCCTGTGACTTGTCCGTGGGTGACCTGAATCCCACCTGTGCTCTCATTATGCCTGTTGCTCAGCTAATCTCCTTAAGCTGAGCTCACTCCTAATAATCTATGCCTACGACATAACCTTAAAGTGTCCCACTGACTTGTTTCAAATTCCGTACCTATAATGTTATGGATCTTCAGGATCCTGAAAGCTAAACACAAATAGGACCATCACTTGTACTGTTTCTACGTAAAGGCTCAAAGGTAACCAATCTGGTTTCATTTTGTCTGTTTAAAACAAAAGGCCAATAGAAGATAAAGCAAATTCCAAGGCTGAGCGATCTGCTTCATTCTTGTAAATCTCTGGCCAGCAGCAGAGTGATTAAACTTACCATTGATCACTTCCTGTCTTTTGATCTCAGACGGCTTCAGTCCCAGAAGCACTTCTCTGCTAACAAGCTGCTGCCAGTTGGGTGGATCTGTCTCCAGGTCATTCTCAAACTGCTCATCCTCACTCTGACTCTCTCCAAAGGCAATGCTGTCAAACCTAAGAAATAAACAGACAATGGGAAACCTGGCTGGGGGCTTCAGGTGGACAAGGGAGACTCACAAGTCTTCTGTGTGTTCATGTGTGTACAGATGTTCATGTGTGTACAGATGCTCATATGTAAGTGTGCACATGGATGTGGAGGCCAGAGGTCTTCAGGTGTCACCCCTGACTGCCCTTCACTTTATTCCTTGTGATGGTCTTGTCATGTCTGACTTCTCATATGGGTATTCACCATCTGAACTGAGACCCTCACACTTTAACAGCTGAGCAATCAGCCCAACCTCATGAGCAAACATTTATTGTAAACCAGGCGGACGTCTGCGTCTGATTCAGCACTGAGCCTACGACACTCTCCTCTCCTAGGAAACGGCTTCTTCCTGTATGTACACTTGCTTGTTGCCCTCCAATGGTCTGGGTTTACTGAGAGCTTGCCTTTACACTCACAGACTATGGACAGGGTTTCTTTCCTTTACGTGGAGTTAGGACTTTATAGGGGAGAGGCTCTATTTAAATGAAAGCTACTTAAGATTTACTTACTTTCGAAAGGGTTTTGGGGTTCCATGTTCTGGCACCCTAAAACAATAGAGAATAAGGAATCACAGGAGAGCAAAACAGAGACCAAGAAAGACAGACTCAGCTGGACAGTGGCAGTGTACACCTTTAATCCCAGCACTCAGGAGGCAGAGGCCGGTGGATTTTGAGTTTGGCAGTTTGAGGATAGCCTGGTCTACAGAGCAAGCTCCAGGATAGCCAGGGCTACACAGAGAAACCCAGTCTCAAAAAAACAAAAACAACAATAAATAAAAAACAAAAAAGAAAGATGTACCCAAGATACAGAAGTTATTTAACATAACAAAATTTTTTTTAGTAGGATTTAATATTTACTACCAACAAGACTTTCTATCTAAACAATTTAAGAGGAAGCGCTGCCATACGGTAAAAGGGATAGGTCAAGAACGTAAGCCATGCACCAAGCTCTATGAATTACCTCTCCACTTCACACTCCTCCTCCTGCACTTGATCTAACAAAGGAGGGGGGAAGTCAAAAACAGTGTTAGGGACGCGAGGGGTGCTGTCCAGGCAGTCTCCAGGTGCCAATGCTTCTCCAACTTGTTTTGCTCCTAAGATAACAAAAGTCAGAGTCACTAACTGTCTAAAATAAAACAGCAATAGCAATAACCAAAACATCTAATCAATTCCCCAGAACTTTAGCCTAAATCATAGCCACCTTCTATTTAAATAGGCTAGAGAGAATAAAAAATTAGCATATAAAAATCTCCAAATGCACTAACACACAAATGGGGAAAATATTTCTTTTTTTTTTTTGAGATACTATGTGGCCCGTAGCTGGCCCTAAATTCCCACAGATCTGCCAGCTTCTGTGTCCTGAGAGATGGGATTAACAGCATGCACCTCCATGCCTGACAAGAAAATCATTTTTAAAGTATTCTCTTTAAAACGCAGGGCAGAGGCGCTGCAGCGCTGAGATGGTGCGGAAGGTAGGTAGGTGCTTGCACGCACCAGATGACCCGAGGCTGACTCTCGAATGAGGCAGAATCCCAACTTCTACAAGGTCTCTGAATTCCACACATGCCCTCCCTCGATCTGGGGAGAGGTGGAATCTTTGTCTTCGGTTATATATTCTCTGCTGAGGCCCCTAGGCTCCGAGGTCACACAGACGGCCCTGGTTAAACTCAGGGAGCCACAGAACAAATGACTAAACATGAGGAGAGGCGTGGTGAGTGGAGACAGGAGGGAGGCAGGCAGGAAGGAGACGGTCAAGACGCGAGGTGCACATCAATGAAACTATGAAAATTAATCTTTAAAAGGCAAGACAAGCAGCATGTCCTGTGACGGGGAGCAGCCGCCTCCTGCCTCCTCCTTTCTCATTTCTGATGCCAGCTGTTAGAGTGGACCAATTCCAAGTAACACTGTTTATCATCTCTCTCTCTTTCTCTAGGCATTCCGCTCCCCCTCTGCCCCTTCCAGGGCTTGATGGTTATGTCAGCACTGGTTGGGTAATGAGGCATTACAGAACTCCAACCATGGAGCCATTTTACTACATCAAGGAGAACATTAGCTCTCGTGTATCTCAGGCTAGGGATTTAATGTCCATATATTTCCCTTTCCTATTCTCCTTACACTTCTAATCTGTGGTCTCAATGAAATTCTAAATGCTTGGAAACCAATCGACTATATTTTCATTATACGGCCGTATGCATACTGTCAAATACAACCTGCGGCACAGATGCAGACTGTCCCTGTCGGGTTAAGAAGTATGCTGGTCTGAGTATTTTCTTTCTTACTGCCCCCATTTATGCAAGTCCTTGGCTACTTAACATAGGGTGCTTCTTACACTAGAGTCACACTCTATCAGCTGCGTGCGTGCGTGCGTGTGTGTGTACGAGTGTGTGTGTGTGTGTGTGTGTGCAAGATATACACGTACAAGTCAGAGGACAACTTGCAGAAGCTGCTTCTCAGTCAGCCATGTGGGGGTCCAGAGATCCAGCTCAGGTGGTCGGGCTTGATGGCAAGCACCTTACCTGCTGAGCCAGCTTACCAGCCCTCATTTTGTTACTGACATAGGGTCTCGCTATGTAGCCCAAAGTGGCCCATGTCCCAATTTCTGGGAGTAGATGCATGTGCCACAGCATTTAGATTGTTTCATGGTTCAAAACTGACTTACTTTCTTAACAATTGTTTTTCTTTGTACTCCTAAATCTTTTCCTTTATTGGCAAAGTAATATAATTTTCTCATGTCTCAGTTTTTTTCTTCTACCTCATACTACCAACTGCTTGAGACTCCTCCTTCATTTCTGTGTGTGTCGTGTAGGTGTGAGTGGGTGTTTCTATGTTACTGGTTCAGTGGCTGTGTCACCGTCACTGCCTTTGCTACTCTTCCGTGCTGTCTCCTGCATCCCAGGACTGACTTTAACTCTTTTCTCAACGTGCAGAAGTATAGCCTCAAACACTACAGGAGGAGTGAGGCGTTTCAGTTAAACTTTATATGATTACATATCTGAAAATGTCTTTGTTCATTCTTCCTTTTTGACAGACAATTTAAGATACACAATTAAAAGTAAAAGCCATTTTCTTGCAGAAAGCCAAAAGCTGTGTTCTTTTCTATTCCACCACTCAGTATTCCAAGGAGCAACAGATAAACACGATTCTCGCTTTCTCTCTCACTCTCTCTCTCGCTCTCAAGCTTCCAGGATTCCTCATCGATTAAGTAACACGTTATTAGCAGCGGCTGGTTCTCCTCTCCCTTTCTAGTAAAAGTGCACGTTATTCCCAACTCATGGAACCCTTCCCTACTTTCTCTGCCCCTCCTCCACCGTCTCTGCTGCCTCTGAGGAAGAGATAGGATCTCTCTCGAGTCCCCATGATTTCTGGGGTTCTGTTGTAGTTCTGTTGTTGTTTTTAATTCTTACATGCACTGGAAAACAGTACTTTCAGGGATTCTACACACAAATAGCCCTTTAAATACTGGCAACTGTAGTGATTTAAAAACATGTTCATAAACTTGATTCTCCTTCAGGAATGGACTCTGGTCTGTCTCCCCGGAAGTATGGATGACTTGGTGACTTGCCTCTAACTGGCTCAGGTGACAGCAGAACTCTGTTCTTGTCCCCTCCTTTACATCAGTCTAAAGAGTCAGCTATGGCATCCTGGAACACTGGAGCAACTCCTGAGAGAGTCCATGCTGAGGCTCCATCTGAGCGGTCCTGAGGAGGATGCTCCCTGCCCTCCTCAGAGACCTCAAGTTAGAGCCACTTAGCCAGGCAGCTACAAGGTCTTCGCTCACAAACAGATGGGATACTTTCTGCACTGTGCCACTAAACCTGGTGATTATCACACAGCAATTATAACAATATTCTACTATATTTTAACTTTTAAGTAACATTTATCTCAGAAATACTTTTGTGGGACTCTATTCTTTATCATTTCTTTAATGTTCCCAAGTGTACTACTTTAGAGGCATTTTTAAAGTTCTTGTGCATTATCAGAATTAAGCTGTTCCTCTAGGGGTTTTTATGTCACTGTCTAAATGTTTGGAGCTGTGTGTTGCCTTATGCCTTAATCCTAACAAGCAAGTGTTTCTAGGAATGAGGAATGACATTCATGTTTAAGAATGAAAAACTGTATAGCTGACTTAGCTTTTTTTTTCCCCCTTTCCTACTGTGTGGAAATAGCTCTGGTCCAAATATTTGATCTGGACAAATTATCATTAATGTTAAAAAAATACCGTCTCCAGGGTCTCATGTTTATAGATTTTCTTTAAAATTTATCTGGGGCCCATCATGATAAAATAAAAGTGTTTGCTGCCACCCTGGCAGGCTGAGTTTGATCCTGGAACTCACACGGTGGAGGGTGCATCTGATCAGCTAGGTGACACACCTCAAGGTACCGTGCGCCCAGTGTGCCTTCCTTCCTGAGCAGCCTTCTTCTCCATCCCTCCCTTAAGTTTGTATCAAGTGTTTTCATTAAGCCCCAACTCTGCTTCCTTGAGAAAACACAACACGTATTTGCCAATAACAACTAGCCAGTTTCCTCAATTCCCCTTATCTTTTATTTCCTGGAATGAAGGAATTTTCCAACTTTTACTGGTATTGTGTCTTCTCTTCTTATTTAGGGACAGCCTCCAAGTGTGTGCCTGGATGGCCTTGAACCTTCGATCCCTCTGCTTCTGCCTCTTGAAGATGACTCTTGCTGTATCACCTCCCCCAAGGGCTCCTCATTTTGTGACTTTCCTCATGCATCTTATAAGCCTCAAATGGTAGCATCTGTGCATAGTCAACTCCTCTAGAATTCAGGCAGTGTTTTGGAATTTTGCTTTTTAGGAAAATAAAAAACTATCATTCAGCATATGTCCATATAGAATACTAATATTTAAATCAAACGAAACTGGGATCCACTTTCAATTAAAATCTTCCATTTCTCCAAACATTTCTTCCATTGTTTACTCTAATGCATGACTCACCTGTATCAGTCTCTCTCCCTCCCTCTTGGGAAAGAGCAGCCACTGAGGTGGCAGAGGACGTGGAACTGGCAGACAGGTACCCAGTGTCTGTTCCTTCATTGGCTACTCCACTCTGGCGCAACTTGGCAGGGTCCTGAGGCTCAGGACTCACAGACGACGGTGTAGACAAGTGCTTCGGGTGGCGTAGCTTCTGTATCTCCATGGCCCTGCCAACTGAACAGAGAGCAGCGACAACGGTCAGGGGTGCACGTGGTCAGGGGCGCACATGCTGCAAAGTGGTGGAGAGGAGGGAAAGGGGTGGGAGGAAATATCTGAGATCATCCACAGTCATTACACACGGCAAGAAACAGGGAGGGGAGGGAAGGGGAGAGCAGAGAAGGAAAGTAAGAGAGATGGAGTAGGGGAAGAAAGAACACAGGAAGAGAAGCTGGCGAAAGCATCTGCAGTGGAGGCAGAGGGAATGCTAGCAGACAGTTTTATCTTCTGTAAAAACAAAGATGCAGCCTTTATCTGTGAGGGTTCTCCCCCTGCACTTTTCCCTGTGTATTCACAATGTCACCACTGGAGCACAGACTGTAAAAACAAAGACGCAGCCTTTACCTGTGAGGGTTCTCCTTTACCTGTGAGAGTTCTCCTGTATCTGTGTGAGGGTTCTCTTTTACCTGTGAGGGTTCTCCTGTATCTGTGAGGGTTCTCCTTTACCTGTGAGGGTTCTCCTTTACCTGTGAGAGTTCTCATGTATCTGTGTGAGGGTTCTCTTTTACCTGTGAGGGTTCTCCTGTATCTGTGAGGGTTCTCCTGTATCTGTGAGGGTTCTCCTGTATCTGTGAGGGTTCTCCTTTACCTGTGAGGGTTCTCCTGTATCTGTGAGGGTTCTCCCCCTGCACTTTTCCCTGTGTATTCACAACATCACGGCTGGAGCACAGTCTGCCCTGTTCCTTACTCTTGCTCACATCAGGTTCTCTCAGGCCATCTCTTCTGCCACCTTACACCTCTGTGCAGCCCGAATCTAAGTCCATCTCCTTCTATGGAGATTCCCCTGACTGTCACAACTTCTGACCCATGCTACTGGCACTCGCAGGAGGACTCTCCATGTCCTGGAGACTGCTCTCCAACTGAACTGTCAACCCAGCTCATCAGAATCTCAGATGAGAAGCACAGCACAGGCTGCTATCTTCACAGTACCACCTCTATCTCTGCTGCCACCCTGTCTGGCGGTCTGATCTCTCTCTGCAGATGGATGCGGCAGGCTATCAGAAAAAGCACAGTGGACACATGGAAACCACAGAAGTACGGAGAGAGTGAATAGCAGTAAGTACAAAGAGATTACACAAGTCATGGTGGAGTGATCCATGACCGTGTGTGTGTGTGTGTGTGTGTGTGTGCGCGCACGTGTGCACGCACAGGTCTGAATGAAACAACTCTGAGCACCATTTACATTTCTCAGTCAAAGTCCACAGTCTGTTTAAGACACAGCCTCCTGCTCACCTGGAACCTAGTACGTAGGTCAGGCTAGCCGGCCAGGGATCCACGTGTCTCTGGAGTCTCAGATTCCAGCTACCACGTTAGGTATTTCCCCCTCAGCATGGGTTCTACAGATTGACTGTCTCTTCTAAGAGCTTTACCAGCTGAGCTAGCTCCCTGGCCCAGCGCTTTTTTTTTTTTTTAACTGAGTGAACATCAGTTGAACAGGCATGCATGAAACCAGAGACGAGAAGCTAGGGCAGGCGTGAGCAGGCACACGTCGCTGATAAGGATGTCCACAAGAGATAATACAGCACCATGGGTGAGCTCCGTTCAGGAACAGCACTGGGAGAACAAGGCGCAGTGCAGCTTCAGCTGCACCAGCGGCAGGGCAGCTGCCTCCAGCTACGCACCCCTGACCAAACTGACTTCTGAGGAAAGGCAGCAAGGAACAGCGCCACAAGCCTTGACTTACTTGCACTGTTGTCATGGCGGCTTGGTCTTCTAGGGGGTCCCAAAATGCTGGGGAATCCTCTTCGCTTCCCTTTTTCTTCACCCTCTCTATCTTTCTTCATGCTTTGCTAAATTCAAGGTACAATTACAGTAAGTGAACAGTAGGTCTTGTTGTTGCTCTCAACTACAGCAATGGGATTCTCATGGCCAGTTAAAAGGAAACAGTGAAATATTCATAAAAGAACCACGGCACCAATAGCCGTGTGTGAGCCTCACACTCAACATGCCTGATTTTTCATCTTTGCATTTTTTGGTGCGAGACAGCATCTGATGTAGTCCTGGCTGGCCTTAAGCCCACTATATAGACAAGGGTGACTGTGAGCTCTGGATCTTCCTGCTTGTAACTCACAAGTGCTGTTAGTACAGGCCTGCACTACACACTCAGCTCTCAACAGAAACAATACTCTTAGAAAATAAGAAGCCAATTTCCAGACACTTGCTGACAAACATTTACATGTTTGTCAAGAGACTGTTTTACAGTATCATCCATCCATTCAGCACTCTCACAGTATGTGAGGGTGCCGTGCTGAAAGCTAGGGGCGTAGTCATGAGGGACATTCAACACTCTCACAGTATGTGAGGGCACCGAGCTGAAAGCTAGGGGCGTAGTCATGAGGGACATGTGGGTCTTCACACATCTTTAAACTCTAACAAACTTTAAATAAAACTTGATAATTACTGAGATGGGCACCCTGAGGTCGAAGTCTAAGGCACTAGTTTGTAGATGACAGGCATATACACTTCACATTACCTAATAATAAGCTTCTCTATGTGTGGACTTCTCACTAGACATTTAGTTCTTGGTAAGAGAAACCAAGTTACACCTGTCATGATCCTCAGTGCTGATATGCTAGCTTAGTAAATGCTGGGAAGGAAGGAAACCCTGTCCGCAAATGTGTAGAGACAGCGAGGCAGTCCGTCTATCATCACCCCAACCGCACCTTGATCTTCGGAAGGAAGCCAATTCGACCTCGCTTGTGCTCCAGGTTCCGAGGTTCTTTCACTTTGACTCCCAAGTGCTTCATATACATGAGAATGACGTATTGCATAGTGGAACTGGAGGAGAAACCATTACAGACAGACAGTAAGAGTTCAGATGTGGGAAAGAGGGTCAGAATAAAGACATCAAATGATTCCTAGCGGCCCAGTGATGGGAATTAATCAAGGCAGAAACTACAACACTGTACACAAACCGATTCTATTCACATGACACTAGAGTTACGAGTCAAATAAAAAACGGGCCACCAGAGGGAGCCTACAGTCTATATATGAAGTTAAAAGAAACTGTCATTTTAGAGCAGATAGAAAATACAGCTCTACTTGCGGTGGGAGCATATTACCTCCTGTCTTCTTCTACAGCCTGAGCAGTCATCCTAAAAACAAAAATATTTTAAAATGAAATAAATACAATTGGAGATGGTCTATCATAAGTCAGTGGTACATTTGGAAATGATCTATCTGCAAGTCACATGGTATAAGGCCCTGGGTTCAATCCAAGGTACCATCAAAAAAGATCAAAGAAACATACACATTTAATCAGAGATTTGCTATTTAAGCTCAGACACCTGAAACAACAGAGAAGAACTAAGTGTTTTGGGTCCTGTCTACATCCAGAATAAAGTACTCAAAGAGCTCTACTCCACAAGGGTCCCTCCCCGCCATCTCACAGCCGTGACATTAGTGATCGGGTTCTACGGCTGCGAGTCTTTCCCAAGGCCTGTGAATCAAATTCACCTAACGCTTATCACTGACTACAACTGTTGAAGTTACTCATTAACCAACACTCAGAAAAGAGAAGGCAAGAACATTAAACTAACAGGAAAAAATTCTGTTTCCGAGTGTCATGACAAATAATTCTCCATGTACAATCTGACTGCTCTGACAGGTCTGCTTAAAAAGCGCTCCAAGCAAAAGCAGCATCTCTGCACGAGGTTCTGACTTACAGTACTTCTTCAATTTTGGTGACAATCTGCTCCGCACATGCCCGCTCCTTCTCCAGACTTCCCCGGTCCTTGTCTCGCTCTGCGTCAAGCTTTGTCAGCTCACTCTCGGCCAGCGTCAGTCCCATGCTGCGTTTCTGTCTAAATGCGTTAGGGAAAAATATCTCAGCAGAGAGCAAACTATCTCCTTTTAGATGTCTAGACAGCCCTACCTACAACTGACTAGGGACAGGCAGGATGTCCTGTTTCCTACTTTGACCCAGCAAGTCTGGGCTCTAGTGGTGGTCAATGCTTTTGACACATGTCTAGAAGGAACACACTCTGCAGAGATGCCGCCCTGAGCCGTCTCCCTGCTGAAAGGGCATGAACGGAGGCGACAGACTCCCCATTCAGCCTGACTTCAGTTGCCCATTATGTCTAGTAACAGGGCTAAGGCCATACGGTTCACATAGTGTGGGCTGAAGTACTTCATATGTAGCTTTTCCTATTAAAAAAAAAAAGAAAGACAAATAACTCACCATGAGCATACCGAGTTTTCTTTAACAGTAAACTTACCGGAAATCCTCCAAGTGTCTCTGAACTTCAGGCTGGACTCTCTCCTGCATTGTCTGAATGTAGTGGCGATGCAGATCCTCGGGCAGAAGCTCGGGTCTTCTCTTTTCTGCATAAAGAAAGGGAATGAAGTGATCTAAAGCTATGGCCCATGCAACCTGACACTGGCAACACAGTGACATTGCGCAGTACACACTGAGCTTACTACACCAGGGAACTTACTTAGCGCAGTTACTGCACTTCCTGTCAGAACCCAGACCTTGTCCTTTCAATGTATTAGACTCTCTTTCAGCTGTGATTCACATGATTAAAGTAGCCTGACTAAACTAACAGAAAACAGCGGAACTGAGGCGAGCCACACTTTGATGGAGACGTTAATCTTCGGGGATGTGGGTGCTTCAAACTTACCCAGATCCACGGAGATTTCCTCAGGAACGGAAACTTTCAAGTGCTGAAACAATGCAAAGAAAGTTAGAACTGCACCAGAGACTTCTGGGAGAGACTGAGGAATGTGTGTAAGTTTATCCTAAAGGTGTTTCACAATCCAGCCATTCTTGCTCATCCAAGAGTCACAGCCCTGGACCGGTCTACTGCTTAGACATGGAAATAAACTCTTCCCAGAGTTCTGTTAGGAAGAAGTAACTAGCCATTTTACTGGGCAGAGGAATGAACGCTTCAGTACCACTCCACGTAAACATCTGAGACTGGCTTACTAGAAACTCTGGTCAATATAACCAGTTACGCATTACTTGAAATAATACAGGTAAACCTAAACAATGCGCCCACTACATAGGAAAACCTGACTCGTGTAAGCATGGTTTCCATGTCTGCATCTGAGACTCTTATCCTAAAGACCATGTGATTCTCAGTAATTTTCTTAGGTGAATGTTTAAAAATCTCAACAGTATACTCCCAGTGAAAAAGTATTGGATGTCGAGTTCTGGATGTCATGTTGAGTCTTAAATCTCTAGTAACCATCTGTAGTCCCTGCAGCAGAACTAAGGCAACTCTCTTAGGACACACTTCTTTCTACCCAGGATTTGTCCCCATAAGCATGTGGACTTTGGTCGTTATCAGACTATAATGTTCTTTACCCAACAACTTAACAGAAAGTCTTATTATTTTGTATTCAGAGGAAATATCTTGGTTTTTAATAGTAATTTTATACTGTATACCTATTAAAAGTCATATACTTCCTAAATTTAAATAATTCTTATAAATATCTAAAGTTCTAAATTGGAAAAGAATTCAGTGTTAAAATATTATGAGACCATTACATAATTTATTTTGGTGTGTGTATGTGATGTGTGCACACATGTGTAAGTGTGTACACCTGCCCACGTATGCATGCATCTGTAAAGGCCAACGCTGGCTACCTCTCTACCTTAGTCTTTTGACATAGGGTTCTCACTGAACCTGGTACTCACTGACTCTATTAGCTTGGCTGGCTGGAGAGTCCCTGGAATCCTTGTGTCCTTATTTTCGCTCTTAGCGCTGGGATTACAAGTGTGCACAGCCACGCCTGGCTTCTTATGTGGGTGCAAACATCTAATTCAAGTACTTAGCCTTGCACAACAAGCACTTTACCGCTGAGCAAGCTGTCTCTGGCCCCTAAGAAGAGTGAAATGGCAAGACATGTTCATACATGTTTATAATCCCAACACTTGGGAACCAGGGAAGGGAGAATCTTAAGCCTGCGGCCTGCCTGGGCTAAAAGACTGTTTCAAGGAAATGGAAAAAGGAAAAATATGAGAAACAGAAAAAAGAAACATTCTTTTAGCACAAGTACAAAAAAATACATGTGGGGTAGCGGTGCAGCTCAGTAACAGAACCTTTTAGCACACCAAGACAGGGATGTGATTCCAGCACCACAAAGAAATCAAATAAAAACCAACTCATTTTATGGATATGAGTAAAATAATTTTGACTTGTCACATGAAAGAAGAATCAACACATTAACATGAATTCTTCTAAAACTTTGCTGCTGACACAGATCACGAGCAGCCAACAGGCAGGTGTACAGTATGAGGGAAGTCTGTGATATATCTAGTTAGTTTCTTTCTCCACGCTTTACACTCTTTCCAGGAAAACAGCAGGGTCAGAGCTGGGCTGGAGACATGGCTCAGTGGTTAAGAGCATGTGCTGACCTTGCAGAGTTCAGTTAGGACCTGACCCTGTCTTCTGTCATCCACAATCACTGACACACAGAAGGTACATTACCCTCACACACAACAAACATACGCGTAAATAAAAAATCAGTGAAATGAAAAGCAAAGTCTTCAGTTGAGGAATCTTGGAGAGAAGAGATGGAGACTAGAGTCTAAAGCAGTCACCTAAGAGAACAAGTGTGAACAGACGGGGCTGGAAACGTGCAGTGTTTGCCTAGCACTTATGAAGCATGGGCGTCATCTCAGCACCTTGTAAAGCACCTCATAAAACTAGCTATGCTTGCACATGCCTTTAATCTCCGCAGTTAGGAAACAGAGGCAAGACAGTAAGTTTAAGGTCATTTTCAGTGACAAGTTGAATTCATGGCTGGCATGAAACCCTGTGCAAAACTAAAGGGATAAAGAATGGGGGAGGGGTGGGATGACTAGAGATGTCCCTACAGTCGAGTGCTCGCTAGATAAGCAGGAAGACCTGAGGACCTGAGCTCCATCTACATAAAAGCAGGGCACAGTGGTGTGTGACCGTAAGCGAGCACTAGGCAGGCAGACACAGGAGGATCCCTGGAGCACGCTGGTCAGTGAATCTAAGTTAATCACTGAGCTGAGATTCAGTGAAAGACAGGGTTTCAAAATAATAATATGGAGGGCCAGAGAGATGGCTGAGCAAGTAAGGTATTTGTTATCAAGCCTAAAACCTGAATTCAATCCCTGGGACCCACACGGTGGAAGAACTGACTTCCACCGGTTGTCCTCTGACCTCTATACTCACATCTTAGCCCAAGTGCACACGCAACCACACCGATAAAAGCTAACTATAATAATAATAATAATAATAATAAGAAGAAGAAGAAGAAGAAGAAGAAGAAGAAGAACATAAGTTGGGAAACAATAGAGAAGACACCTGACGTTGGCCTCTGGCCTACACGTGTATATGCAGATGTATGTATGCACACACATACACTAAGGAAACAATGTCTTTTAAAAGACCAAACAAAAAATGGTGAAGGGAAAAGGGACAAGCAACAAGACATTCAAGGAAGTGTTATAGGCTATTATTTACCCTTAGTTAGCAATGCTCATGATAAAATTTAGCTTAAAAGTAAGACTTAAACAAGTTTGTATGGTGTATGTATGTACTGTGCACACACATGCACATACAAAGCACATGAGTGGATGCTGGAAGACAATGCAGTATCTTCTTCCATCACTGCCCACCTTACTGTTTGTGATGGGATCCCTCACTAAACCTCAAGCTCAATGACTGGCCAGACTTCCTGGCCAGCAAACCCCCAAGATCCTCTTGTCTCTGTCTTCCCAGGATCCAGCTTCTCATGTGGACCCTGGGGATCAAACTTGGGTCTTCATGCCTGTGTGGTAAGCACTCTACCAACTGAGCCATTTCCCTAGCGTTTCCATTGGTAAAACAAAGGGCTACGATTTGCTGATTTCAGTGTGCAACCTTTTCTACCACTTTTTGGCTAAATCTGTATTTCTAATGTTCAAAGGGGCCACTCAGAATTCAAATATCCAAGTATCATCCTTTGGATCCATATACATATGTGTCTATCATCTCTATTATGTTTTTCATTTCCCAACCTAATCGTGTACATATAAATTGCCAAATATACATATATAGTCCCTAAACTGTATTGTAAGAATTCACATACCAAAAATTAATTTAGAAATTATTTTCAAGTCAGTCAAGTATAATCAGAAACTGAGATACAATATGTACACCCAAAAGCATGATATACTTCAACAGCATGGTTAGGAGACAGGAAATCAAGGTCAATAGGGCAATGGATGCACTGAAGGAAAGAACCCAGTATTAACTCAACAACTTACTGCAGATCGGTCCAAGAAGAACTGATGAAACTCCAGGAAGACCCGCCGAGTCTCCTTGGAGTTTGTCTGCTTATACAGGTCTGAGTAGAGATAACAGAGCTGTCATGGGAAAGAAATGGAAAAGACACAGTGAAAACACACGAAAGGTGATGATCCAGTGAATCACATTTGAAATGCCTATCCTTCTAGGTTTAGAAAATACGCCTGTCTACTTGTTTGTCAGATGAAAAGCTCTCGGGCTATGAATCAGTATGTGGATGCCCAATCAGGTGAACTGTAGGATGCATTACCAAGGTTGCAGGGTCAAACTGTGAGACCACATGGTGTAAGAAAGCAGCCAAGTGAGCGGGACGAGACTTCAGCAGTTCAATGCTCTGGAAACAGCTGCACTGTCCGTTGATCTAGAGGGAAATGATAACTCGTCAGTAACTCTGGAAAACTGAGTTAAAGCTGCACTTGTAAGGACAACTGAACACAGCCATCAGAATTTCACATTGACCTTCTGTAATGGCTTCCATCTGGAAGGATGGTGGCTGAGGGCTTAGCTCCCAACTGAAGGTGCAGTTGACAAGTGGTGGGAACCTGAGGAGGTGGCCTTGGTGGATGGAGGAAGAGGATACTAGAAAGTGCTTTTGAGGGGTCTGTTTCATTGCTGGCCCCTTACTGTTTCTGTCTGTCTCTCTTTAGGGGGGAGGGTGTTTCTGATTTTGTTTTTTTGTTTGTCTGTTACTGTTTCCTGTCTTGTTTTGGTTTTTTGGTCTAGCAGTCCATGCTACCAAACCCATGGTCCTCATGCCTCTGCCTCCCAAGTGCTGAGCTTACAAGCTTACTTACTATCTTCCTTATGGTTTTTTTTCTTATCTTTTTGTAAAAATTCAGATATTAGGGCTAGAGATGACCTAGCAGTTAAGAGCACTTGTTGCTCTTACAAAGGACCTGGGTTTGCTTCCTCTGTTAACTCCAGATCCAGGGGTTCTGGAGCCCTCTTCTGGCCTCTGTAGCACTAGGCACACACAAAGTACATAAACACATATCCCACCCAAACACTTGGATACATGAAATAAGTAAATGAGTAATTGAAAACCTCCAGCTGTGGTGGCACTCATCTGTAAGAAGTCCGGCAGCCCTACAGCTGGATGGGAGACAGGACGTGGAAAACTGACCCAAACTGCACAAGCAGCACAATGGCGGAAAGAGGAAGGGAGGCTCTGCCTCAAGACAAGGTGTAAGGAGAGAACCACCCAAAAGTTTTCCCTGACCTACACATGTGTACTGTGTCATGTGTGCACATGTGAGTACACACTTGCACATCCACATATATACTAAATAAATGCTAAATAAAATTTAAAAGACTGACCTGCCATGGCTGGCCATAATACTGGTCATAATACTGGTTGTCATGATTGGTCCCAGTAACACAAGACCAATTCAATATTCTAATATTAATCAATGTAATCTGTCTTATTAAGAGAGTAAATCAGAAAAACCAATCACCCTAAGTCATTCAAAAAAATTCAACATCCAGTTAAGATTTAAAGAAGGAAAGAAAGAAAAAAAGAAAACTCTCATCAAGCTAGGACTATTTTTTAGCTTATACCTCTTAACCTAATTAAAAGCATGTACAAAACCAGCTGTCAGCCGCATATTTAAGCAAGAAAAACTCAGTGTTTACAAAATAAGAGAGCTGTATAAAGCAAGGGCTCTTCCAAACTGACTCAGCCTCAGGCTGGGAGTCCTAGTCAGCACAATACAGGCAAGAACAAGAAATAAGGGATACACAAAGTAGAAAGAAGAAAACACAGAGCACATCACTAAGAAACAATATGATAGCTTTTTTAAAAATTACAAAAGTATTCTTTGTTATTTCTGTTTTTGAAACTAAAGCAATGTAGCCAGCGCAGGTTAGCTCCAAACTCATGATCCTCCTGCCTCCTAAGGGTTTCAAACACTTCTGTCAAAAACTAGAAACTGAGAATGGTGGTACACAGCAGTCATCCCAGCACCTGGGAGATGAAGGGAACGTGGAAGTTCAAGGTCAGCCTCAGCTACATTCAGAGTTTTAGGCCAGCCTGGGCTACATGAGGCCATACCTCAAAAACCTTTCTAATACAAGAAAGAAAGAGAGAAAGAAAGAAAGAGAGAGAGAGGGAGAGAGGGAGAGAGGGAGAGAGGGAGAGAGGGAGAGGGAGAGGGAGAGGGAGAGGGAGAGGGAGAGGGAGAGGGAGAGAGAGAGAGAGAGAGAGAGAGAGAGAGAGAGAGAGAGAGAGTCTCGACAGGCAGTGGTGGCGCACGCTTTTAATCCCAGCCCTTGGGAGGCAGAGACAAGCAGATTTCTGAGTTCGAGGCCAGCCTGGTCTATAGAGTGAGTTCCAGGACAGCCTGGGCTACACAGAGAAACCCTGTTTCGAAAAACCAAAAAGAAAAAAAAATTAAAATAAAACAAAAAACCCCAAACCCCTCCCCCAAAAAAAGTTCCTATAAATATTCACTGAATTTAGCAAGACCACTGGTTAAAAAGACAGGAGCTGGGCTAATGACATTCCTTCCACCAGTGACTAACTAGGATTTGTAAACTTTATTTTTAAGTATCATATCCAGTAACATCCCACCCCAAGAAGATGAAAAATTCTCAAGTACCCATCAAATGAGCCCACATCTACAGTCTGCAGTGTCAGTTTCTACTGTTCAAAGCTAAAAGCAGCCCAAAGTGCTGGGCTTTTACGATTCACCTTTGCATCACTAACAAGACTTATCTCAACTTCCAAAGAGCGGCTATCGAATCAGACATCGTACAAAGCTGATCGTGTGTTTTCTGACAGCAAGGCCGTACCTGCTCGTGCTCAGTGCCAAAATCATCATCCTCTGCTCCGATAATGTGAGGGGCGCCACGGGTGGAGGGACTGCCGACCAGCGACTGCGTGTCCTAGTAACGACAGAGGCAATCTGAGCTCAAAGACAAGGGCAGAATGAAACCCCACTACAGACCTGGGAATGGCAGCTGACACCTATAATCCTGCACTGGGAGGCAGAGAAAGGAGAGCATTTCAGATAAAGAAATGCATGGCTGGCTTCTTCCATGGAGTTCCATTTTATTATTGTCTTTGAAATGCTTTAGTTTCTAAGTATTGGTTCTCAAATATTCAAAGTCAGTGTGCAGAAGAGCACTGGCTGTTCCTCAGAACAGGTCAGTGTATGTGTGGGTGTATGTTGGAGGGGCTACATTTCCCTGAGACTAATAAACCATCTTTGCTCACCGCACCTTTGCTCACAGCAGCCACATTTTTAAAACTTCATTCATTCATTCATTCATTCATTCATTCATTCATTCACACATACTCACACCAAGCAACGAAAGGACATAAAACTGGCTTAAGTTCTTTTTCTGTTGTGTGATGCTAGAACTAAAACATGAGAGACCTTGGTCATGGTAGGCAAGGGTCTGCCAATGTCCTAGAGCCCCATCCCTGGTCTGTCTCTTCTTTTAAATTGCTTTAACCTCAGATTTTTTTTTTATAATTTTAAAAACTGGATGAAGCAATAGACATTTATTCTGAACAACGGTCACATTTTCATTTTGTAACTTGATGTGTCTGACTATTCAAAAATGTTGTTGATAATATCATAAAATTCTGTTGAATCTTTTACAATAAAACTTCAAATACATTCATTAAAAAATAAAATCTAAGGGCTAGAGGGATGGCTCAGCAGTTAGTGAGCCCTTTCTGCTCTGGCAGAGGACCTTCATTCAGGTTCTAGCAACCACAAGGTGGTATGCAACCATCCAGGGTATCTGATGCCCTCTCTTCTGGCTACTGCGCACATGTGCAGGGGTATATATACAGGCAAAACACCCAAACATTTAAAATACCAAACAAATAAAATCATAATGCTAAAGCATTCTATTGAGAGTGTGTAAAACCCAGGCCACTGAGAACTCAGCAGCAAACACACTTGCCACCCAGCCTGGTGACCTGAGTAGAAAGAATCTTATTCAAGAGTATGAAAATCCAGCAATTGCAACTCTAAGTTGATACTCAGAAGGACTAAAATATCACAGTGGTGCATAAGCATGTATATACATGCGGGGGGTTAAGTTTCTTACATACTTAAAACTACTAAATACGTGCATATTATATTCTGCTTAATATATGCAGGGGAGAAGGAGAGGAGGAGGCAGAGGAGTATTAATCAGTCTTAAAAGGGAAGAAAGTTCTGGCACATGCTACAACAAAGACAAACTTGAAGACATTATGCTACTTGACATAAGTCAGTCACAAAGAAAAACTGTGATGTGATTCTGTTTATGTGAACAGGTCAAAATAGTCCACCATAAAAGCAGAAAGCACTCAGGCACTGGTGGTGCATGCCATTTGTCTCACCACTTGAGAGGCAGAGGCAGGAGGATCGGAACAAGTTCTAGGACAGGCAGGGCTACTCAGAGAAACCCTATCTCAAAAAAAAAAAAACAAAAAATAAGCCAACAAGTTAATAGGAAATGTTATGGCATGGTGTGCTGTAATCACACACTAACAACGCCATGGACTATGGCATGGTGTGCTGTAGTCACACACTAACAACGCCATGGACTATGGCATGGTGTGCTGTCCATGGACTACCTATTCAAATCTTTCCTACATTCGTCTAATAAATAGGTTTTGTTTTGTCCCTCCCCCTCTCTCCCAGACAGCACATGCGATCCTCCTAGCACATCTGGAATACAAGGAAAGGTCAGGAGACAGAGCTCTGCTGCGAAGCAGTGTGTCACACTGGATCCCCTCTCAGAAGCAGAGCCAACGACACTCACTGCGTGCACGTCATACTCACAGCATCCTGGATTCCTTCGCTTCTCTCTGGGGTTTCTTCTAGATAAATCCTCTCTCTCAGGCTACTCTTGGGACTCTAATGGAAAGAGAACACATACACACAGGCATTAATTCATTTGGGGAAGCACCAGATCAAAATGGGAAAAATTGGTGTACAAGGGGACAAAGTTCTGCTTCTTATGCATATTAAAAACTAAATACCCTTCATATCACAAGTGATGTCACTCTCACTCCCAAGACTGGTCACCTAGTCTCTCAGCTTTTCCACATCACACTGAAGACAACACAGAATCAATGAAACCGTTTCGTCTAAGCTTCAGCCTGGGGCACCGTTCCCTTTTCATAACTATGAACAGGTACACGGGATACTTCAAACTCGTTATTTCCAATAAAACTCTAACTTTATCTCTCTTAGTCTATACCTTATCACTATCTCTTCCCTTCTCCCAGAGACCAAATTATTCACGTGACAATTGATGGCTTACATTAGCACCTGTGAGTTCAAAAATATTAGAAATCCACTCACACCCCTTAATTGGTCATCTTGGAGATTTTTTAAGAATATAGACTCTCTTAGCATTGGGGAGGCAGAGGCAGGGAGATGTGAGTTAGAAGCAGCCTGGTCTACAGAGTGAGCCCCAGGACAGCCAGGACCAAGCAGAGAAATCCTGTCTCAAACAAACAATAAACATACACATTGGGGCGGGAGGGGGGGATTCTTCCTGTGACGCAGCAGCTTCCTCAAACAGAAATCTCCCTCCAGGAGGGGGCAGAGCACTAAAGAGGCTAGAGAAACAGAAGGAATTCACAGGACTCTGGCACCTTCATATGAGGCTATTACGGGTAAAAAGCAAATTGCTGGGACACAGGCATGACTCTGAGGACTGCCACAACGCAGCTTTCTTGAGTCATCGGGCAGGCAGAGGCAGGCTTTGTTGGTGATGTAACCCTCTGAGTCACCCATCGTCCTGTAAGCAGACTCAATAAACTGATTCACTCATCAGGTCTTGGATGGAACCATCTCTGGTTTGTCACTGCCCTCTCTGTAGGAGGTGAACAGAAACAATGACCCCAGGAAAAAATGTCACAATGTTTCATTTCCTATGCAAGCTATGTTTTAGGGTGAACTAACGGCTGGTAAAGTCTTCCCAGCTACTAAATACAGAAAGAAGACAAAACTATGATATGCTTTGGAACCCTTAATTGAATAAAGGATCTAGGCCCTGAGAGGGATGTAAAAGACTTCTGTAACAGACTGACAGAGAACTGATAGAGAATGATGGGGAAAATCAAGCATCAACACCTTACACAAGCACTCAGCTCCTGCTATGGCAGGAGGAGACGTACCCAGTGTTACCCATGAACTGTTCCTGCCAACAAGAACTATCAAACCTTAATCAGTACTCTAGATCTAACTTTAAGTTTTCAGGAAATAAAGATAAGGGAAAGAGTTACACAGCACCATGAAAAGACAGTCAGAAAGTGGGTTGTTTAACTGGATATATGACCTGATTTTTTTCAAACAAACAAAAAAAAAAAATCGGGGGGGGGCAGAGAGGAGGAAAGGGAAGGAGAGAGAAAAGGAGGGAAGGGGAGAGGGGGGGAGGAAATGCTATAAGGACCTTGCCTGAATCTTTTTCTTTTCTCTTTTTTCTTTTCTCTCTCTCTCTTATTTTTTTTTATTTTATTTATTTATTTATTTATTTATTTATTTTTGGTTTTTCAAGACAGGGTTTCTCTGTGTAGCCCTGGCTGTCCTGGAAGTCACTCTGTAGACCAGGCTGGCCTCGAACTCAGAAATCCACCTGCCTCTGCCTCCCAAGTGCTGATTAAAGGCGTGCGCCACCACCGCCCGGCCCTTGCCTTGAATCTTGAATCAAATAAACCAGGACTGGGATGCATTAGTGAGGGAGTTTAACACCACAGCCCTGAGCTCGTTCCCCAGAAACATAAAACAAGTCAAATAAGCAACATGTAGAAAATCCCTGTTAGACAGAGTAATCAGACTGTGTTAGGAAAACGTTGAGTCCTAAGGTTTGATAACACTAAAGCGCCACTTCAGAGACCTCACCTCCTAAAGTCACATTAATGAAATCAGAGTCTCAGAGTCTCAGCCTTGAGAACAAGAGTCACAGACACGTTTAGGTTATGAGTGATGTGACAGGACCCATGACATCACTCCCCCCTCTCCTTCCCTCCCCCTCCCCTCCTTTTAAATATATCACATAGCAAGATTAACTAGAGCCGAAGCCTGTCCGTCTTGATGTACTTCTATACAGTTCGAGTAGCCAGTCTGAAGAACCTTCAAAATAAATTGAAAACAGTAAAACCAGAAGCCTGGACTGTAGGTGATGTGTAAGCCGCTTCTGAGGACAGCGGCTTGTGACATTAACTCTTCACCACACTAAGCAAACAGTTGCATTTTTTAACTCACAAATGCCAGAAGATTGTTTTATAAAACTGAGAAGAGGGCCGGGAGACAGTTCTGTGAGCAAAGTGCTGGTTCCCTAACCATAAAGATGTGAGTATGAACCCTACAGCCCAGCCCAGCATCCATGGAAAAGCTGGGCACAGCCTACTTGTAACCCGGGTTCTAGGAGGCAAGACAAACAGACCCTGGGAGCCCCATGACTGACCAGACTAACCAGTTGGTAAGACCCAAGCTCAGTGAAAGACTGTCTCAAAAAATAAGATTGGCATTGATAGAAGAAGGACCCCCAGTGATGACTCCTGGCTTTTATGCACCCACATGCACACATAAATATGTATGTCCAGACAGATAGACACATACACACAGATAACAAATTTTAAAAGCAAAATGCTAACTCAAAAGAAGACTGATTCTTCCAAACTTACTACAGTACAGTTCAAAGAAATATGGAAATTCATAAGCTACTTTGACCTCAAACTGACACTTGTGGGAATTAAACAAGTTTGCTATGTGTTCAGTAGATAAATCTGGACTACATTTCTCAGGGTTTCACACTAGTTATTTGGTCTTAGTTTATCTAATGGTAATACTACTTAAGATACTGTAAGAATAAAAAGAGTATCTCAAGGTATTAGTCTAACCTCTGGCACAGAGTGAGCACTCACTAAACAGTAACGGTTAGCCACTCAACACACATCTTTGAAATTCCTAGTAAGCCACTCTTCTTTTACTATGGCCTCCCTGTCTCTTCACTGGGACGTTTCTGATGGTGCTCCTTATTTATGTTCATGTCAGAGCCTAACTACTTCACTCCGTCATTTTACTATTTGTCTTGGCTAGTTTGGTGTCAACTTGACACAAACTAGAGTCATCTGAGAGGAGAGCACATCAGCTGAGGGACCGCCTCCATCAGACCGGGCTGTAGGCAAGCCTGTGGAGCACTGTCTTAATTAGTGATTGATATGGGAGGCCCAGGATGTTGTGAGGGGGGCCATCCCTGGGCTGGAGGTCCTGGGCTCTGTAACAAAGCTGGCTGAGCCAACCATGGACAGCAAGACAGGAAGCAGCGCCCCTCCGATGGCCTCTGCATCAGGTCCTGTCTCCAGGTTCCATCCCTGTTTGAGTTCCTGTCCTGACTTCCTCCAATCATGGCCTATGATGTGAAAGTATAAGGCAAATGGTGTTTCATCATATCGATAGAAACTAGGACACTACTCACTCTAATTCTTATCAATTACGTGACAGAATTAATTTGCTGTAATGCCTGATTCTGAACTCATCAATTAATTCCATTTTATATAGCTGTATTTGGAAAGCACAGATTTTGGTTTTAACATTTCCATAAATACAAAATAAAATTCTAACTTCCCAGCCAAAACATTTGTTCTGAATGCCCACAATCTGGAAATGCAGATAAGATACACAGGGCAGAGGGCAGACTGTTCTTGAAGCAGTGCTGCTAATACGAGTGGGAGAGCCTCCACACACCTGGGAGAGCCTCCACACACCTGGGAGAGCCTCCACACACCTGGGAGAGCCTCCACACACCTGGGAGAGCCTCCACACACCTGGGAGAGCCTCCACACACCTGGGAGAGCCTCCACACACCTGGGAGAGCCTCCACACCTGCCCTCCAATCTGCCTCATTTCATTTCTAGCTTTTCACTCCCAATCCTGACATTCCATGTTGCTCTAAAACCTTCACTTTCTTAAAAAAAATGCCATGTTCTCATGTGCCAGTTCCTTTGTGCATATTTAGAGGATCAGTCTCATGGAGACACATAGAGGCAAATCATTTAGTGCCTGAATAAGGTGGGCAACCCAGCAACCTCCCTTTGCCCTCAGAACTTCTTTTATTATGTGACAGTAGCAATACTGCACAAAGATCTCTTCAGAATTAACTAACAACAATTTTACCAGCATTGTTATAATGCTTGAACAATATTAGCTATTTTCCTTGAAAATCGTAGTTTTAAAATCCTGTTATCATTATCTTTCAAATAAAAAAAAAAGTTCTCAAATTTTCCTTGTTTGAGGAACTGAACCAGTAAGCCAGGCCTCAAAGGTAGCCTAGACAACGGCTTAGAGCACGGGTCTCAGTTTCCCCTCATCTTAAACAACTCCCCAGCACTTGTGTGCACACAAGTCACAAGCTGTAACAACGCCTCTTCTACACACAACGCACCTAATGTCCTGTGCTTATCTTAAAAACACCACCAGTCACTACTTACTAACTTGACTCCAGAGCCCACAGATACAAAATATTACCTCAGACTATGACCTCACTGTCCTTAAAGAAGAAGACTTATTTCTTGTCTATCATCAGAAGTATGTATAAAATAATGTTGCATAAGCAACACTGATAGCCTGAGTCTCACTATGTAGCCCTGGCTACCCTGGGATTCTCTCTTTAGACCAGGGTGCCCTCTAATTCACAGAGATCTCCCTGCCTCTCCCTCCCAAGTACTAAGATTAACACTCATGTGCTACCGTACTTAGCCTGGCTTAGCTTTCAGTAGTCATGAAACTGTGGCTCTACGTCATATTCAATCTAACACGTTTTTATGAACAATACATCCATCTGGTAGACTCTCTGTGAATCAGGACAGAACTGTCAATAAAACCAGGCGAGTAGCGAAGTCTAACAGGATAAAGGCTGCTTCTCTTTGTAATGGCAAAGTGCCTCATGATTCAAGACTGAGTCATTCTGACCACAATTGAAATATTAACATGCTTTAAAGACACCAACAGTTGGCCTCTCATTTGAGCTAAAAAGCACAAGTACTTGCCTCTCTATCCACAAACAAGAAACCTACTTGGAAATTCCATCCCTACAGAAACACTTCACAGTGAATGCCTGGGGGAAGAGTGACCTCTGGAATTTCAAGCTCACATATAGAACACTATTGAGAACGTCTGTTCACCAAATTACTATATAAAAACTTTTACTATAAAAGACAACATTGAGAACACACATAGCTTAAGAAAGGGGCTATAAGGAGAAAACAAGAAGATAAGATTTAAAAGATTAAAACTTACATCTGCACTGTCACTGCTGGGCCGAGAAGCATCTCCACTGCTCCAGTCAGTCCTGCACAGGCCATCTCCAGGATCTGTTTCTGCCTCACTGAGTGTTAGGGCATCACCTAACGGCCTGGAGGGTGCAATTACAGCTCCGTCCTAAAACAGATTAAAGAATCATACAGACTGGATCACAGGAGAGAATGGCGATTACTGACTGTATAAAGAAGCAGTGCCCACACATTCTACATGGATACAGGCAAAGACTGACTACCAATGTGACTAAAAATACTTAGGATCAAAGTACTTAAAGTAAAAAGCATAAACAACTGAGTTTTAGAAACCTAAAATGAACAACCATAAAGATAGGGAAAGCAATGTTTTAACACAGAATGAAAGTTCCAAAAGCAACTTTCACCACAAATATATATACAAGAGCATTAACTTACACCATTTAGATTATCTGCCATCAGTAAAAATTATTATATTACTTCTATTTAATGCCTTCCCACTGCTTCTGAGTTTCATTAAATGTTCAATATTTGGTCACAAGCTATAAAGGTAAATTACTAAAGCTACATTTTTACTGTTCGTATTGCATAAATTCCTTGTTTTTATTCAATAATAAAAGCATAAAAGGCTCCTAATATATCTCAGTGGTATAGCCCAACTAATAGCCACAGGCTGAGTCCCAGTGCTACCAAACATGTGCATATGTGCATATGAGGACACATGCATGCACGCACATATAAACACAGATACCATTACTGGAGCGTAATAATCAAAATGCAAAAGACTGTGTGATGAAGCACACCAGGCCAGGAGACCTCTCGTACCATGTCACGTTGGCGATGTCGGCTTTCCCAACCAGAGTGGTATGTCACTTTGAAATTAGCAAAGTGAGATAAATGGTCTCAAAAAGCTCTTTTCAGTTCTGTAAAGATGTGAACGTGTACTAGTTCAAAAAACAGTAACAGCTCATCAGTTTTTACCCATTTTAAACACACAGGCAAAAAGTAAGTAGTTCTACAGGCAAACTGCCCACCTTCCTTTAAATGGAGTATGGAAGCTTTGTGGATCTCAAATAGCAACGTTACAGGATGTGTGGCTCACACAGAAACTGAGCTTTTTAACTACTCGGACATTACTGCCATAACTCTGCCCGTATGGCAAGTTCTAGTAAAACCTGGCTTAACGTTATGATAAAAATTAGGGTCATTAACACCAGAAACATGAAATTGGGCATGGTGGCACATGTCTGCGATTCTAGCTCTCGTGAGGCTAAAGCAGGAGGATTGCTCTAAATTCAAGGCCAGCCTTGGCTACATAGCCAAGTGTTGCACTAGTCAGGAAGATGCAGTTATACTCTGCATCTGTAAAGAAAAACAAAGAATATGAAAATGCTCACTTATGATTGGGCACAACTGTAATCCTGGCATTTGGAAGGATAAGGCAGGAAGCATTATAAAAGTGACATCCAGCCTATAAAAAGATGAATAAATCATGACGATTGGAGATCGTAATGAGTTTGGCTTTCAGGTTTTCTTTGTCTCTCTCTTCTTTCTTTTCCTAGAATCTCTCTTACACTGTAGCCCAGGCTGGCCTCCAAGGTGCAATCCTCTTGCCCCAGCCTCCCCTGGCCTCAGTGCTTTGCCATGCCTGGCCTTGAACTCGAGTCATCACTTTTGTGCAATCAGTCTGTGAGTCTTATGTACACTAGCAAAACAGAGGAGAACAACAGTATCTAGCTTCAGGATGCCACAATGTCCTTTAGTGTGTAAAACCTTCACACCCCTCCTTAACTACATCACCTGTCACTGTGAAAAGTGTGAACCACAAAAGTGCAAGTACTTTCAACTACATCTCTGGTTTGTCACAGCAAAGCAAAAGTCCTCAACTCTTCCTTAAATTACAATGGAACCAAAGCAAGTAAGCAATTGGAAGCCCACACTTAACTTCTGTTAGTCATTACGTCTGTGACATCCTACACAGAGCACCCTGTTATCCTAGGCTAAAAACATCACTTTCAAAGGGAAACTGCAACATACTCTGACACAGTCCCAGAAGCTCTGCAAACACTGGGTAGAACTTTCAATAATGCCAATACCTGAGCAGAGCCTGTGGCTTTGGACAGCTGCTCCTGCAGCTGCGGGATGTGCTTCTTGGCCTCCTGAATCTCCTTGAGCAATCTTTGGGTAGCCGTTCGGTTGTAATCTTCCTGTAGTAACTGCAAGTTATAACAACATCTTAGGAATTACTTACTTCTGTCAAATGGAGAAAAAAGCCACTGGTAGTACAACAGTTGCTGGCACTAGTGCAATTCTCTTGACTGGTTGTGGGCAAGAGTAACCCCAGGTTCAAAAAGAAAAGGTGCAAAAGAGCCTGCAAAGAGCCCAGGCTACCTCCGTACCTGCAGCCGTTCCTGTTCCTTCTGTAACATTTTTCTCAGAATCTCTACTTTCTGGTTATGGACCACATTATTTTCCTCCTAGAAAAGGATAGGAATACAGGAGAAATGGGGCTAAAACTGAAAGCCAAGAGAGATGTGCCACAGCATGGCGTCCTTTACGAGTTCTTCCTCCTGAATGAAGATGGCTCATTCCATAAGAAAGGCACAGGGACATCTCTGCCTTTTCAGCTCGCCTTCACTAAACTATGTGCAAGAGAACAGTAAATGTGCTGTCAGCTGGAGAACTGGAATTACAGAAGTACAAATCTGTTGTTTCTGTTCTCCCGGTTGAGACATAACTACCAAACATGCGTTCAGGCAAGCACCGATCCATCTCAATGCATCCCTCCCAATGCACTCCTCAGTCCCCTGCTTCCTTGTTCCAATTTCCAGTCCAGCCTGCCAGAAATCCTGAGACAACTCCTGACTCGTCACTCTTCTTTTACGAATGTCTGTGTCTTCCTATACTCCTTCAACAGTCACGTCCCTCTCCCGGTTAAATGGATTCTTACTGCTTACTCAGTTACTTGAAAACTTGCTCACCAACTGTGAATACACAGATGAGCTTCTGTTAAGCCACCTCCCACCGCCTACCTCCTTAACTGGCACTAGTTAAACACAAGTCTCGCTTTTCTGAAAGTTCTGGAACTTTCTTGGCTCTCGGCTGTGTTTATTCTATCTTCTCCACCTGTCTGCTTCCCTCACCGTGGCCACCACCATTATCCATTATCCAAGGCTAAATTCAAACACAACTACTCTATGAAGACCCTCAACGTCACAACTGGATGTGCTCTCTCCTCCTTGAAAGCCTTGCACAACGTCGTGTGTTCCCCGTTGTGTCCACATTCTGTCTCTTTCTTATGGTTACTTACAGAGCCTTAACCTCCATCAATAAAGGCTTATAAGCACCTCCAAAATGTTGAGCAGTAGTTCAAGCATTAGGAAGACAACAGTAAACAAAACAAACACACTCATATCTTCAAAAGGCGGACACTGTCAGATGACGAACGACTTTGAGCATAGGCTACAAATATAACCATATCTCTGTGGCTCGTACACTGTTTTATTACATGGCAAGTGTCTAATAGTTCAACTAAATTTGCTGCAACAACAATTATTCCAGGTAATTATGTAACTTCTATAAATACGTACATTCTTGAATCTTGCATGGAAGTTTACTAATCAGTTTAATACAGAAAATTCTTATTACAAAGCAAAGACATCTTGATGACTGAGCATCTACAAAGATGTTCTGATCTTACCCCCATGAGCACAGGACTAGTGATTCTCTCCATATTCCCGGCTGCTCCAGGGGAATGAGGGGAAGTCATAACAGGAGACATATGTCCAATGACTGATGGTTCTACTTCAGGATCAGCAAGTGGAATCTGGGGCGACCCAGGTGGGCGTCCCTGGACAGTGAGAGCTACATAGGAACCAGCTTGAGGTGGGGAAAAAAAAGGAGGAAAAGAAAAGGTAACACTGTTGAGAAACTTTTAACAAAACTTTTTTCTCTTTATCTAGGGTAGTGAGGACTGTACCTGGAAATGCATGTTTGCTGAGTGACTTATTCCCAGGAAATCTGCACCTCTTAATATATGTTTTATCTTGAGACAACCTCTCTAAGTTGCCCAAGATGATCTTGAATGCATTCTGCAGCAAGGTAAACTTTGAACTTGTGATGCTCCTGCCTCAGCCTCCCAAGTGCTGGAATCACAACTATGCACCACAATGCCCACCAACTTTGAAATAAGGCTTTCGGTCTTAATATTCTTGTGAGGAAGCCATTGATTCCATCTTACTAACCATATGCTCGCCTCGCTCTAGCTCTGTCTAGTCTTTAACTGGTTCAAAGGAAACCAAAATTCAGTCACTCTGACAATGTTTGGAGTAGGCATTAAAAAGAAAGCCCCAAGTAAGCAGGTTTACACAAGCAATGAAGAGGCACCAAGAGGCCCAGGGTGCAGCTTTTCCAGAGGTCACCTCTAGAGCCGGGTGCAGTTGCGTCTGCAGACGCTTGCCTAGCATGGGTGATGTCTTGGGTTCCAACTCTAGCGCTGCATAACTCAGCTATGCGGCTTATGCTTGTAGTATCAGCACTAGGAGGTCAAGACAACAGTACCACGTTTTCAAGGCCAGCCTTAGCTATACAACGGGTTCGAGGCTACCCTAGGCTACATCCGACTCAGTCTGAACCCCTAATCCAATCCTCGTCCCTTGGAAAAGGCCTTAAAGGAACTCAGTTTACTAAGGCAGACATGGTATAACATACATGTAATTCCCATCACTCAAGAGGCTGAGGCAGATCTCAAGCTCAAAGCCCACTTAGATTATCCTGGATGTCCTAGGCAAGCCTAGCCAGCCTACGAAGTAGAGCCCAGTTCACTGACCATACAAAAGTCTGTCTACTCAGTAAGAGAAATGAAGTGATCCTGCTTAGCCATAAATAGCTCTCTTTTTTTAGAGTCTACTTACTATGAAATGACCTGACACAATCACGGATTCCTTTTCTGCTACATTCCATTTATTTTCAGCTTTCTCTTTGGACTTTTATATTTCTTTAAAAACATGACAAATACCTAACACCCAAGCCAGGCCAGAACAAAGAAACAGAGCTGCTTAGACGATAAGACACACAGATGTCTTTCTCTACGTCTGGAGCGACTGTCATGCTATCATCCGTGCAAAGAATGAAGCCATCACAAACACACTTCTTTGTCCAGAGTGGGTGGAGCTAGAAAGTAGCAATGAACCATTGCTGAGGGGAGGACAGGCTGAGGACTTCACTGAATCTCAATATCCCAAATACCTACTCATTAGCACCAATCAGAGGCAAAACTCACAAAAACCACTGAATCCTTACTTGAATCTGTAAATATAGAGAAACTGGGGCCTGCTACCCCTGCCTTGCTGTCAGCTTACAGAGGCAACACCCACTTTGGATCCTACTGTTGTAACGTACAGACCCGAATGGCTTGAATTTTACAACCATTTACTGATCTGAGGTAAAGGGACTGCACTACATGAGTTCTAAAGTTCTTCTCAGGACACTGTGCCTGAATCTCAAGGTCTTTGCTGTCAGTTGACTGACTCATGCATTCTTTCACATAGATGTCCTGAAACAGGGAGCTGACACAAAATAATTACTAGTAAGTAATTATTCACCTTCCGATGGGAGTGAGGAGTGGAAAACACCGAACTATGGTGCTAAACCTAGATCACAGACCAAATAAAGTTTTATTGGAACTAAGCCATACTCATTCATTTACAGATTGTCCACTGATGCTTTTGTTGTACAATAACAGGCTCCAGTAGTAATTACATAGTTCACAAAGCCTAATTATATTTTGTATTTGGCCAGTTACAGAAAAATGCTTGGTGACCCTTGTTTTAACGGTTTGAGAAAACAAATTTAAAAACTAACATTCACCTACATCTGATTAGTTTCACCACCTCCAGATGATTCGAATGAGTCACCAGAGTCCCATTCACCTGTAAGAAAATTTAAACAATATGCATCAGATAGAGATAATTAAAACAGAGATAGAGTAACTTCAGGACTTAGTGTGTACTAATTATAATAAACACTTGGTCCAAAATTCATTTTTCCACTATATATTCAGCAACAAAATGAACTTAAAAACAAAGCAAGACCTTCTTTTAAAGGTGGTGTATCTAGCCTGTGGCCACCTGGCTACAGCGTCCTAGGATAGCCGAGAAAACAAGCCCAATATACTTATAGATGACAATACATAATATAAGAGAGTTTGAATATCCATAATTTAAAGGAAACTACAACTTAATTAACATGATAAATACAAAATATACTTGAAAACAGATTTACAAATCTTGATATTGTTACTAGAGAGAGATGACTCAGCAATTAAGAGAACTACATTACTCTTCCAGAGGATCCAGGTTCGACACCCAGCACCCACATGGTGGCCCACAACCATCTATATAACTCCAATTCTGGGGAATTCAATGCTCTCTCTGGTCTCCATGGCATCAGGCGCAGATGTGGGACACAGCATAAGGGAGGCAAAACATCCATACACATTTTTTAAAATTTAAGTTAAAAAAAAAAAAGCCAACAACAAACCCTTCACAGATTTGTTAAACTGCTCCAAAAAGATGTCTTTAGGGCCGGGGATGTAGCTCAGCTGGCAGAGCGTTTGCTTAACATGCATGGAGCCCTGGGTTCGATTCCCAGCACTGCATAAACTGGATATTGATGGTAAGTGACTGTCATCTCAGCACAGAGGAGGAGGCAGAGGATCGACAGCATAAGGCTACTATAACCTGTACACGAGCCTATCAAAAAGCAAATAAAAATCCTTGCTTTTAATAATCAAAAATAATAGTGTTGTGTTAAACATGATGTGATCTTTACAAAGAAATTTAATTTTCGGAAAAGTTGGGTAAAAAATATTACCCAAGGTCTGCACTAAACAAAACAAATTAAGGTAAAACTACCAAACACAGATTTAACATTAACTTTATAGTTTTCTCATGCAAGCAACACCAACTTAAAGTTGAAATCCATGAGTATAGCGTAGTCCATAAAGTGCTTGCTGTGCCAATCAAGCATGAGGATTTGAGTTTGATCCCCAGAACACACATGAAAATGCTAGGCACAGTGTCAGGCACTTATAATCAGTCCTACTGCTGGGGAAACAGAGACCTGTCTCTGCAGAGACCCTGCACGGCTGGCTAGTCAGCCCAGTCTAATAAGAAGCAGACAATGAAAGCCTGACTCAAAATTAGGTTAACAGCACCTGAGGAACAGCACTGGCGTGGTTCTCTGGGCTAAACATACACATGTACACATGTGCTCATGAACACACACATATACAACATATGCACAATACACACAGGGAAAAAATACAGCAGTTTGCTCATCATGCCTCTCAGAGTTGTTGCTTCTAACTACAGCATTTAACATTTTCAATAACCCTTAGCATGCAAACATGGGCACGGATGCTAACTGCTTTCTTTTATCATAGACAGCTCTCGACATAGACACCCGTGAACCTAATGACTCCAGCCTTTCTGACTGGTGTTCTTTGACACAGTCTTACTATGCAGACGGCCATGAGCTCCCGACTCTCCCTGACTGTCCTGAGTCCTGGGATTACAGTGAGGAATACTGCTGCTTTAATCTAGTCTTTCCTACAGCAACAGGGCTTTTGCTTTATCCTCAGTCCATGCACACTTAGATGATAGATTATGAGTTTTCATTGTCTGACAAATCTCATGTGGCACATCTGTACACCTTATTTCCTTAGGTAAATCCCTTAAAAAAAAAAAAAAAACCTGGCGGATCAAGGCTATACACTTGAAAACTTTAATACATCTTTACAATTTCTAATAAATGATTTTTCGTAATTGATGCTGAAGCCCATGAAAGAAGGCGTCCTACTGTATCTACATTATGTCAGATCTGAATCTTCAATCACTAACCCTCTTGACAGTGAAAAGCATTTTCACGTATCACTTTAATTTCTACTTCATTGTCATCAGCGACACTGACCCATGGAGTAATTTACTTACTTCAGTTACTCTGAAGAACATTCTGATGAAATTATTTGCTTATTTTGCTATAACAATTACTATTTTTCTTAATAACTTATTCACTTATTTTTTTGTTTTTGTTTTTTGTTTTGTTTTCCAGGCAGGGCCTGTAGTTCTGGAACCTGCTATGGAGATCAGGCTGGCCTCAAATCTGTAGATGATCCATCCTCCCCTACTTTCCCAAGTGCTGAATTGCAGATGGGCCCCATCAAGCCATTTAATTTTTATTTTTATTTTTTTTGTAATTCACAGTGCTCTCAGGCTGGGACTGGCACCATGGGTACGAGTGCTTGCTGCACAAGTCTGGCTCCCCAGTATCCACGTAAGAACAGCCCAGTGCAGCTTCCCAGGCCTGCATGCCCAGGACCAGGCAGAGTTGGGAGGAGTTTGGAGAGGAGGACAGGAGGTAGAAAAGGATTGCTGGGCCTTCATAACTGCGAGCCTAGTGGAGAGGGGAGGGAGGGGCACAGCAGGCAGCAAGTGAGAGATCTGGTCAGGGAAAGAGGTGGGCATTGATAGAGGACTCCTGTTCTTCACACCTGCAACATGCAGACCTACATGTATATACCATACACACCAGTGCTCTTTATAATAAAGAGTATCATGCTCTTAATACTTTTAAAGACTTTCAAAAATGTTCCTTTACCTATATAATTACTTTTAGGTAATCAAATTATTCAACTGTTTCAACAGAAATTCCTAGGAAATCTATTCGTCTTCTAATGATCAGAGTTCGCTTGGCTCTCAGGTATAAAGCCCAGGGTGCTCCCCAGGACCATCCAAACGCACAGTGGTGTGCATCTGCAATTCCAATACTGGGTAGGCAGGAAAATCACAAGTTTCTGCCCAGCCTGGGTACTTGAAACCTTATCTCCAAACCTGAGTCCTCAAGGCCTGTTTCTGGTCTCCATTAAAACTAGGTCCGTTAAACTAACTCAGTTAAAACTAGCTCTGTTAAACTAACTACGTCATCTCCACTCACACGTTACACTTCTTTCTCCCACTACTCTTTTGCTCTTTTACTCTTTGTTGTTTTCCTGGTGCCAGATAGCAGACCCAGAGCCTGACGGAGACTAGGGACTCTATATCAGCGTCTTTGAAGAGTTCATCCGCAACGATAATCAGTCTGCAAGTGACCGCTCACCAGCACAAGCATATCTGGACAGTATCAGTATTTCTTGCTAACAGATTAATTTGGATAGAAGTGAGTTTTTAAAAACTACTTACTTTTCTACATGAGAACAAAGGTGACTCCACTTTTACAAGCCTTTTGTTGTACCTTTCAGTAAGGGGTAATGCTGACTTTAAAACAAAGGAACTAAATTTGTATAAAAGGCAGAGGGCTGGTTTTTATAAAGACCCAGGTGGAAAAAGGAATGCAGGCGACACACACTCTGCACGCTCTGCAGCCCCACTGTGACTTCCCCAACAGGAGGTGCTTTACCTTGATGATTCGGTCCCCTGTTTGTACGCCAGCACGCATGGCTGCTCCATCTGGGTAAGAAACGGATTAACATGTGACTCATTGATAAATCTTCTTTAAAGAGATATAACACAATTAACTAATAGGCTGTAAAGTACGGCAGACCTGGGTTCAAATCTGGCTTCTACTACCCACTGTTCTGAGAGTCAGACTTGGTTTATAATTTTTTTTTACCTGAAGAATCAATCTCATCTATAAAGTGTTATCTCCTTTAATATAACATTATCTACCTGAAATTATAGAATCCAAAACAAAAGAATCCACTGTATGATAACAGCAAAAGATATGCCAGCCATCTGTCAGGTGTCCTTACCTCTTTAATCTGTCTCTGTTAAAACATCATTTTAATGCTACAAAAAAAATCAAATTGTACAAATGTCTGTTAAGTGACAGCATGGAAAACACCCAGAAATTGTGTGGTGTTGGTAGCTAAAGATGAACTGTTTACTTTCTATAGGGAAAGTCACCTGGGGCAAACTACCTTTATAACCCCATAGACAGACTTAGCATAAGGGTCCACATCATGCAGTCTGTATAATTCTATTCTAGGCAAGAAACGTCATTTTAGCTTCGTCAGACTTACTCTACTTGCTTCTCAGAGTCAAAACTGGGTTTTGTTTTTAAGACAGGGTCTCTCTATGCAGCCCCAGGTAGCCTGGAACTCATTATGTAGACCAGGCTGGCAGCAAAGTCAAGAGATCAGAGATCCACATGCCTCTGCCTTCCAAGTGCAGAGATTAAAGGCGTGCGCAGGCCTGCCTAGCAACAAAACTAGTTGTTTCAAATGCCTTGCCTTCTTTGACAGATTGTACGAAGACTGGATTGTCTCCACTGACTGTCAGCCCGAATCCATTGTCATCTTTCTGGATGATCACACAGCGTTGAACAAGACCTGCAGAACAACCACAGAGTAAAGGAAGGAGGAGAAAACAGAATAAAAGAATGATTATACATCAGTGATGAACTGTTTTCTGTCTGGAGAAATAAAAGGTAACTCACAAAGCCCCTATGAACACTAATCCCCTAAAACAAATATAGGAACATCACAAAGCACCGTGGGTACCAGTGTCTGGTGGAGCGGAGCAGACTATCACAGACAGCTACAACACACTGGAGAGGGTGGATTTTGAGAGATTAGACAATTAAAAGGAAAGTCAGTTCTCAGCTATGCCATTAATTATAATATAAAATCCTCCCCCTAACTATGTGGTTTAACCGGTACTCATCCTAAGAAAATCACTTATTATAGGCTTTTTGGTTAGAGACATATGGAAAATTCCAGAGAAATCCAATGTTAATCTCAGAAAAATAGACTCAAGAAAAGAGGCTGTTCAAAGGCAAGAGGTGTGTGTGCACAGAGCACAAGCATCCGGAGGGGAGGAAGAAGGAGACGGTTCTACTCATGACAAAGGGAAAAGCAGAAGCAAGAGAGGTCACGTAAGCTCAACTACTTCTCTAGCGAGTACTCAGCTGAGTCATTCCGTCTAAACAAGGAAGGTTAACTGTGCTGGGGAGATAAGAGAAAGGAGAGCCCCAAGGCTAGACAACAGGCTGGGCGGTTAAGAGTGCTTACTGCTGTTCCCAGCTATACTGTCAGGAGGCTCCCAACGCCTGTAACAGCAGCTCCAGGGGGTCTGACACCCTCTTCTCACCTCCACACACATGGGACATATATAGCCATACACACACATACAGAAGAAAAAATACTTTAAAAAGAGAGAAAGAGGAACTCAAAAAATAAAAGAGTAATATCCCTAAGCAGAGCTGTCATTCATTCTCTCACTGGAGATGGCACCTGAAGACCCTGACCTGAGTCGGTGGAGACGCAGTGGATGCTTGCAGCTTTACAGACAGAGCAGCTCATCAAAAGCCGAAGGGTAGGAGTGTAATAGAAGATAATGCCGGCTAGAAAACGAAAGCTTCTGATGCATCAAAGACGTGGGAAACTGTATATCAACGGTGCATTCTTGTCTCTCTATACACTCTACTACCAAACAGTGGGAGAACCAAATCTCCACAGAGAAAGCATGAGTCTGAGCATGTACCCTACACAAAACAAACTTTAAAATACTCTGACAGGTGAAACTGCTCTCCCTACTGCTTTCCCTACTTGCACAAATCTCTGGGCTTGAGCTCCAGAACTTGGGCAGGAATTGGGTGGGGTCATCACAAAAACAGGCCAAAGGCCCAAATATAAGACCATGGTGGCACCCACCTTTAATCCAGCCTCTGTCTGGAGACAGAAGCAGGCAAAGCTAATGAGTTCAAGGCTAGCCTGCCTGATCTACACAGGGAGTCTCAAACCTTTTTAAAAACAAACAAAAAAAACCAAAACAACAACAACAACAACAAAACACACAAAACCTGTTTTTAAAAACTAAAAGTATGGGCAGTAGTGACACACACACCTTTAATAAAAGCAAATCTATGAGGCAGTAGATCGCTGAGTTTGAGGCCATTCTGGTCTACATAGTGAGTTTCAAGACAGCCAGGGAGGGCTTCGGAGAGAAACCCAGTCTCAGAACAAAACAAAACAGACACACACACACACACACACACACACACACACACACACACACACACAAACTAAAAATATTTAGAAGAGATAGGAGAAAAATTTCAAGACCTGAGAACAGTGGTTCTCTACCTTCCTGACGCTGGGACCTTTTATACAGTTCCTCCTGTCCTGGAGACCCCCAACCAGAAAACTATTTTCATTGCTATTTTACAAGTACAATTTTGCTGCTGTTATGAATTTAAAATCATAATTTAAATATCTGATATTCAGGATAAGCAACCTCTGTAGGGGTGGTAACCCACAGGTTGAAAACCACTGCCTTATGGGGTAAGCACATATTTTATAAGAAACGAAGAAAAAAAATTCTAAAGAAACTGTAGCAATGAAAAACAAGCCGTGGGGGCTGGAGAGATGGCTCAGTGGTTAAGAGCACTGACTGCTCTTCCAGAGGTCCTGAGTTCAAATCCCAGCAACCACATGGTGGCTCACAACCATCTGTAATGAGATTTGATGCCCTCTTCTGGTGTGTCTGAAGACAGCTACAGTGTACTCATAAATAAAATAAATAAATCTTTAAAAAAAAAAAAAAAAGAAAAGAAAAACAAGCCGTACACAATGGAGCATAACATCTAGTAAAAACTCTGTGTCCAGGTAATACTTTAAAAAAACTCTGTGTCCAGCTCCTGGGGCTGCAGAGATTGCTCCACGGTCTAGAGCACTGGCTCTTCTTGCAGAAGACCTGTGTTCAGCTCCCAGCACCCACCTGGCAGCTCAAGGCCTCCTGTAACTACAGTTCCAGGACATTAGACGCCCTCTCCTGGGCTCCAAGAGCACCAGGAATGACTGTGGAGCACATGTACGCATGCGGGCAAAGAACTCATTCACATAATATAAAAATAACTTCGAAAAATAAATACATTTCTTCTTAAAAATCTATTTCAATGAAAGCTATATTAAAAGGAATTATTTTATTGAACATAGGAAAGATATACCAATAGTTAAAAGGCACATGCAAAGGTACTTAACATCTACATCACTCAGGAAAGGCTGAGTTCAACCCAGAATGGAACTATACTATACAGCAATCAGAATGGGTAAAAATGAAAAGACTGAGCACACCACGTGTCGGCAAAGATGAGGGGCAAATGGAATTCTCAACAGTGTTGGTGGGAGTGTACAAACTCTTGGAAAACAATTTGGAAACTTCCTATAAATGTAGGAAGACACTTACATATGAATAACCCTCAAAGACCCATCAACAGATGCAAGGAGAAATTGTGGCACAGTCATATAACGAATACTTTCACACATACAGAAAACACGAATGGAGAGCAGAAATACCATGCTAAATACAGGAGTCCATGAGCTACAATTCCAGCAAAGAACAAGAGAGGCTCAGCCACAGCATCAAGAAGCCAATGAGCTTTCACTCAGAGAAAAGCAGGGACGAGCACAGGAGAGAGAAACAGGAATTTTCGGAGTAATACAAATGACCTAAGTCTAAATTAGCATACTGGTTACACACGAGGATAATCAGTTCTCAAACTGCTTCAAACCACACTTTAAAAAGAGTGTAGCCTTATTTTTTGTAATAATAACAAGCTTCCAGCACTAAGAAATGTTGCAGTCTTTCAATTCTCTTTACTACTAAGCAGCCAACAGTCTTTTTTCATAAACTCACCAGTAATACAAAACACTAAACTGTAACAAGGGCAGAATAAAAACAATCCATTAGAATTCAACCAAATGTCTAGGAGTGTTCTGCCTACATGTATGTGTGTCTGTGTAACTCAAGCATGGCCAGTGCCTGCAGAGGTCAGAAGAACTCGAAGGTGGTCACTGAGCTGACATGTGAGAGTGTGGAATTGAACCTGGATCCTCTAGAAGAGCAGCAGGTTCTCTTAACCACTGAGCCATCTCTCTGGGCCCCTTGTTGTTACAAACCAAGAGGTTGTGACAGGAAGATGAGAAAGCTCATAGCCAGCCTGGAATATATGCAAGACCTTAGTCCCTGTTCCCAGTACCACCCAAAAAAGGAGGGGAAGTGGGGTGTGGAGGAAGCTAAGGCAGAGGGCACTTTGAGTTGTTAGGGAGGAGGAAGCGCTCAGCCTGTTTCACTTGTTGATTTTGCAGAGGGACTGGGCTTGGTTCCCAGCACCCACAGGGTAGTTCACACCATACTTAATCATGGTTCAGGGGATCCAGGATCTCGTATGATCCCTGATGGACACGAGGCACATATGTGGTACACACGCAGGAAAAACACTCACACACATAAAATAAATCTAAAATGAAATAAAAAAGGAGTAAGCAGCAATTCATAGAAACTTTCTGAAGCCCATGCTTGTTTTTAGAAATATAAATAAGTATCTGTGGACTCCTCAACAATTCTCAAATTTTCAAAATTGGTATTGTGACTTTAAAATAAAAATCAACTGCTTCCTAGTTTTTGCACTGTCTTACGAGATCTGAAAAACCCCAGATGTTTTCTTCAACAGCTCTCTCCATTACTTTTTGAGATAGTCTCTCAGTGAACCCAGAGCTAACCATGCAGGAAGACCAGCTGGTCTAGGAGGGTCTAGGAGGGTCTAGGAGGGTCTAGGAGGGTCTAGGAGGGTCTAGGAGGGTCTAGGAGGGTCTCGGGTTCTCCTGTCTCCGTCTCCTCAGCCTACAAGTATGCTAATTTACTCCTGTCTTTAAAGTGAATGATCCTCCGGGGAACCCCTTCATGTTTTTGTGTCTGTTTTCGTTTTAAAACATAGTTTCAAGGTGAAGTGTGTAGCCAAGGCTAGCTTTGAACTCCTGATCTTCCTGCCTCTACCTCCAGAGTGCTGGGATCTCAGGTGTGTGCTACCATGCTCCAGCTACTGTTTGTTTAAACAAGGTTATTATCTTTGAATAGGTAAGACAGAAGGAAACTGTCAAGGAGGAGGGCTTCTTATTATATAGGCAGTTTTAGAAAATGAGACAATAGGAAGTCCCCAAGAAACAACTATCTTAAAGGGCTCTTACCCGTCCAGCCTTGGAAGCTTTTCCCTGATCCCCTGTTACAAGATAGAGAGAGCCTCTAGACTCTCACTGCACCCTCTGTTTCCTCCTAAAACTCAGTCTCCACACGGACAGGTATTTGTTTTTGTCTCCTCACTGTTATATGCCCCAAGGGTAGAGAAGGATGCCTGGTTCTCCTTCCCTCAGAACCTGGTGTACAGTCTACCTGGTGCAAGAATAAGTTCTTTAAAATTTGATTAAATAATTAATAAAATTCCAAAAAGCAGAAGAGTCTCAAGACGGACAGAAGCTCAGAAAGGAAGGTAAATAGAGATGGGGAAAAAAACCAAAGTGCCCACCTACCATGCATGCACTTAAAGACGGGT